TTGAGCGTAGTCCGGAGGTCCCTGACTAACTCCACATTGTCGTCGAGAAGCTTGGCCTCACGGGCACGAGAGGCGCGATATTTCTCCGACGTGCGCTGCGCCTTCTCCTCCATGCGATCATGTCTATCCTTGCATTTGCGCAATGCCTCGAGCTCGATCGCCATTTCACCATTGACGGTCTCGAGTTCGCAGTATCTCTTGACGAGGTCGCCATGACTTAATGAGCTAATTTTTTTGACGTAGTCGTCTGATGAATTCTTGTATGAGGACATAGAATGAATGTACAGAGTACAGCTGTGATTGTCCTGGCCAGGAACTTAAAGCAATACGCTGTAGAGTGATTAAACTAAACTAAAAGAAAAAAGTTTAATATAAAGAGATGTACTCTTAATATTATTGAACGTTCACTTGAGAGTATGACAGTTAGTAACTGAAGACCCACTGTCTATGAATGAACGAATCATATAAACTTATTTATTTATATAATTAATGATTGATTGCGTGTAACAAGAGGACATACCTTGAGAGTATGACAGTTAGTAACTGAAGACCCACTGTCTATGAATGAACGAATGAAGTGATTGAGTGCGCGAAGCGACATCAAAACACTTTGGAAAACGAATCATTCGACTCTGGAAGTTCCTCATGTTAAAAAGGAGTTGGCACTTGTGATTTTAGACACCCCAACAGGGCACAGATGGATACTGAGGAAGGAAACGCCTGCGGCGCGATTGACTTGGTCCAAGGCACTCTGATCTGTCCACTTGTCTCAGCATCAAGGTGGCATCTGGCGCCTCGAGGCAGAGCAGGCTCGCAACTCCGGCGAGCGAAGGAGGATCATAGTGGTCTGAGCTGATCATGCTGTGTCGGCTCTGGAAGAGCCCTGTAAATTCCAGGACATGATATCCAATGAGGTTATCAAAGTCAGAGAATGGAATATCAAAGCACTGGACATCTCCACGAAGTCTCGTCGCCCCCGCCTTCCATTCATCCACCTCATGGCAATCATTGTCAACTACCTCTGGCACTACATCGCCAACCACCTCTTTGGCGACAAGGAGGCCCCGATGGCCAAGCTCAGCATGGTGTGCATCACCTCCTTCAAGTCCCTCCAGAAGAGGACTTGTGACACAAAACATAAATCGAAGGAACAACACAAGTTGCTCCTATTTAATACATATTTACTACATACATGTGGTTTGTTTGATGTTGTCTAATCAATGGCATCTGAGTTAGACTTGTGAACTCTCCGTACCATCATCCCTTCCATTGGGTCTGACTGATTACTGAGTGTCTTTGTTTGTCGTCATCGTCGTCGTCGTTGTCGTTGTCGTTGGTTGGTTCGTCGTTGTTGAATCGCCTCGGGTGGCTTGGTCCGATATGAATCCAATTGGGTTGTTCCAACTGATCTCTTTCAGCTTGGCCACGACGTAGGGAAAGAGTGGACGGTCGGCAGGATCGGTCTGCCAACATTGCACCAACAGGTCAGCAAACTCCTTGTGGCAGTTCTCGGGGATTGGTGGTCTCAAGCCAGCGTATGCCACCTGGGCCGAGGCCTGAGAGCCATCCAAGTCAGAGAATGGTATCTCGCCAGTGAGTAACTCCCACACCACCAGGGAGAAGCAGTACACATCGATCTTCTCAGAGTAGTTTCCAAGGTTCTTGGTGATCTCGGGTGGGCGCCATCGAGGATTGCAGATGCCGCCATTGGTCATGTTCATCGAGACGTCGGCAGGCTTCTCGCGAGACAGTCCAAAGTCTGATATCTTGACGTTGCCAAGTTCGTCCAACAGTATGTTCTGAGAGGTGAGGTCGCGGTGCACAATGTTCAACGAGTGCATGTGCATCAGACCCAGTGCAATGTCGCTGGCCATCTTCAACACCAGCGGGAATGAGTACTTTGTCTTTGGTTGCGTGCTTGGATTGTGAAGGATACTGTATAGACTGCCTCCACTCATATACTCTGTGATGATGCATGGTGGTTTGTAACATGCTCCAATGAACATTACAATGTTCTGATGATTGCTCCTCTTTAGATTCTCCACTTCTCTTTTGAACCTCTCCTTAAACAGACTCTCATCGTCCACAATCTTCAACTTCTTCACTGCCACATGTATATTGTTCCACCAACCTTCCCAGACCTCTGTTTGTTGTTGTTGCATTGTATTAGAATGGATGTAGACGTGCTCTGGACATTGATGATTGGATGAACATACCACTGAATGATCCTTCACCTATCTTTTGTACAAACTGGATGTCACTTATCTCTATGATGTCCGTGACCTCCTTGAGTATCGATCGCAATTGCTTGTATCTATTCTTCTTTATCTTTTCATTCTCCAATGCTCTCTGTATGTCATTTATCTAAGGTTGGTAGTTTGTTAGATAAACTGTAGATTGAATGAATGGAATGATCCCAGATAGGGCAATACATACAGTCTCTTTGCTGTTTGATAACATATATAAAGAGTCAGAGATGGACCTTCCACGAGGACGTTGTGACGTCGCTAAGTGTTGAAGCTTGGATGGATTGATCGAGGACGTGGATGATGTTGACTTGTCTCGGTTGCTCTCGTGATCAGAGTTCATGAATGATACATCCTTGGAGTAGTCGTCCTTCTTGATATTGAAGTGTACAGAGTCGTTGTAGCTAGAGTCGTTCGATGGTGCAAAGTAGTGTGATTGATTATTGCGTGGACGAGACACTGAGGTTCGTCGCAGAGGCGCCTCAGCCAGGGACGTGCTGGACATGACAAAGCTGTCCTTTGAGTCATAAGACGAGTCCTTGGGGTTGTACGTGCGAGGCGTTGAAGGAGGGGATATCGCGCTTATTGGCTGTGGATGCGAGGAGAGGAACGAGCTAATCAACGAGTTGTTGAAGAGCTCTGATGTGCTGCCCAGAGATGCGTGCAGTATCGAGGGGTGTGCAGGCACCTCAATGTGTGGCTGGCTAGAGCTAAGCAACTTGTTGGTTGTCGGCGTGATAATGGAGGGAGAGGAGATTGAAAGCTGTATGTTGTTGGGTAGATAATGGTCCATGTTGCTGAATATACTACTGTTCAGACTCATCAGAGTCTGTTCATTGTTGTTGTGATGATGATAAGATCGCTGCTGCTGTGCTGACGAGTAACTGCTTCCGGCAATGTCATCGTAGCCCGCTGAATATGTGGATGTTGTTGTGTATGCTACATTGTTCTTGTTGCTGTCAAAGCTGTCAAATAGTGATCGCTTGCTGCCCTGTGTACCTGTTGTGCTCTTGAGTATGTCGACAGAGGCCGAGGAGATACTGCCATGCCTCAGGTTGCCCGATGGTACCGACATTGATTGCGAGGTGGGCACGACCTGGTTGCAGAGGTCACACACAGTCGAGTGTTGTTGTTGCAATGACATTGGCAAGTCAACAGTCAGCTGCTGAGGGGAGGCATGGTGTAGTTGGATGTTGTGGGCCTCCTCCAACGTTGTCTCAAAGTCGAGATTGGGACTGTTGGCCAACACTGACGTGGCTAGCGTGCTGTTTGACCCTGATGCTGGAGGTGAGGGCGCTGATGATGAGAGATCGTTTGAATAGGTCCTCGTTGTAGTCGATGGGTGGCCACGAGGTGAAGGTGTATCACCCAGTATTGTTGGTGGTGGTGCACAACTGTTGATGATGAAGCTATTACTGTTTGATTTATGGTCCACCGATGTCATCCTCTTGCTACCTCTCTTTGACTTTTTGCTCTTGGCCAACTTCTCATTCTTTGAGGAGGAGGTCGATGTGCTGTTACTTCGTCGACTTGTATTATTATTATTGTTATTGTTGTTGTTGTTTGCTGTTGTATCTGCTGTAGCTGTTGTAGTTGTTGTTGATGTGTCAGAGACGGACGAGTGCTCAGATACAGAGTAGTAGTGGTCACCCTTTGTTGAGATCGGCGACAAGGTAGGTGAGTCTTGATCCGATTTGCTTGAAGTTATACCCATGTTGAACACATCTATCTAGATATCCGATTGACAAATAGTCTATTGCTAATGTCAACCAAGAGAGAGACAAGGTTTATGTGTGTATAAATAATACAAGTACGAATAGAGAGTGGTGGGCCGATGCAAGCATGTTTGCCCATGCAATAAAATCTTGGGAGCAGTCAATTTTTAATAATCCAACTTATTAAATAATTCTTTAATATTAATGGAAATAATATATATATATTAATCTATCGAATATTTATTTAAAATAGTAATACAAACATGACATTAAATTTCAAAAACCGCCAAATTTTGGCTACTTAAGCATGGAATAGTAAATCACCAAAACATGGGCTCCATAGCATAGCTGGTTATTGTACTTCCCTAGTAAGGAAGGGGGTCACGAGTTCGAATCTCGTTGGAGCCTTTTTTCTATTAAAATGTTTGTATTTTTTTTCAAAATGAAATGGGGTGGAGGAGGGGAACTGCTTCGGTGGGTATCTTGCCATTGGAGAGAATAGGGGCGTACCAGTTGTGTTGGGGAAGTGTCTGGATCTGAGAACAGTCCAAGGGTTGTAGCAAGTGAGGAACGTTCCTCACGTTTACTTTGTCTCCCTCGAAAGTATACTATACATTGTCAATTATTTTGACAATTTTTTTCAATTATAGACAAAAGTTTGGATGATTGAATATACTAACCAAATTCATTTTCTTGACATCCAGTTAGAATCAATAGATAGTCAATTCAACAATGTTTAGTAAAATCAAATTATCACCTCAAAACTGTTTAAACAAAGAGATAAAATGTTGCAAAAAAACGTACTTTTTTCGTATGAAAATTTAATTAAAGAGAGAAAAGGCTCCAACGAGATTCGAACTCGTGACCCCTTCCTTACTAGGGAAGTACAATAACCAGCTATGCTATGGAGCCCATGTTTTGGTGATTTTCAATGCCTTGATTAAGTAGGGAATATTTTGGCGATTTTTTTTTTTTAACAATAATTAGATTCAATGATTAATCCAAGAAACTGCGTATGTACACTTGTGTGTGTTTAGTTTATTCATTGGTCGATAGTTGTTTGCCCACTTTCTTTGCCAAGTGTATTACACAAGCAATGATTGCAATGCTTCCTAATGTTCCAAATATAATAGCTGGTATCTTCCATTTCATATCGTTCCTCCTCTTTGCTTGTTTGATCAATGATACTACGTGCGTGACATATGGAAATAAAGAAAGAAGGTAGGTGTAAGGTAAATAAATAGTTAGTATGTGATGGTCAATGACATTCAATCAATGTATGTATATATTATACACTTACAGTCATATTGAAATACAGCCTCTGTTGTAGTTTGATTTGCCACATTGACTGTGACACTGACTATGATTCGTGGAGGGTCACCTATGCTTGGAAGCTCACATATGATCGTTGCGTAGTCCAACACGGTGGGATTGGCACACTCCAAATCGCCTACAATCACTTGAGTCTGTTGATCAAAGAAGTTAGTTCCTTTGATCGTGATGTTTCCACCCAGCTGCGTAGTGTTGGTCGTGTTGATAATAGTTGGTGGATTGTATCCAAAGAGGACGTGAGGATCACTGGCATGATTAGGGATGTCGTTGATGCGAATGGTTGTGTCAAAGCCGACACCTGCACCGGGCGAAGCCATGCAAGTGATGGCCTTGAGAGCAAGGTCGATCGGTGATGCCTGGCTGCAAGTGTAGCCCGTCTGTCCCAATAGTAAGCTAACGGTATATGGTACAGGTATTGGAGAATTAAAGTTGGTCAGCTGGAGGAAGTGTCCAGTGACTGTGACGACGCCTCCAGACGTGGGTGCGCTTGTGATGTTGGTGATGACCGGTGCGATGGCCGAGGGCGAGACCGCGGGCACAAAGTTCTTGTTGGCGCTCTTGATGGTCAGGCTGAAGGTGGGATTGAACGGGCATCGATCGGGGATGTTAAAAGTGAACGTTGTGTCGTTGATTGCAGTACCCTGCACCTGAATAGTGTTTACAGTAAGCACTGCATCGCTTAGGTCAGTGCCAAGTCCACCATCAGTTGATATAATATATCCAATCTCTTGTTGTTGTAAGAATGTTATTGTTGCTTTTGTAGTTGCTATAAATGAATGAATAAGAAGTTAGTGATTGATTCATTGATTGAGTGAGTGTATATATAACATACTTGTTAACAAACAACATATATATAGTAATAGTAGTACATATTTGAAGTTGGCATTCTCTGATGTCATTCTTGTATTGTAAACATGTTATTTGTACATAATAAATATCAGTTGCCTAGTGATTGTAGTCAACTTTGTCGGTTTCATCCTCGGGACAATTCACACAAAAATTTGGAATGTGATGTCTTGCATCATACATATTAATACATTCTTCAAGAACATAACATATTATTAATTTTTAATCAATATTAAAATAAAGTTAAAGATTGTCCTTAATAATAACTAACTCAATCTAATAGACTGTACAATATAAAATAAGATAGAAGAAGAAATCATCTTTTTATTCATTTATCCATAATATTAAATAACATGGAAATAAATAATAGTCAAGATCTTAGCAAACTATCAACAAATAATTTGAGAAAACAACTGGTTGATATTAAATATGAACTCAATACAAGGAGAGGATATAAACTTTCTGATGACCATGATGATGATGGTGATGAACATCTAAACGATGAGAATAATCAAAAGAACTTCAAAGTTTATATTCTCTTTGTCAAAGAGAATCGACCAAGAGTAAAGGAGGAGAACCCTGATGCTACGTTTGGGAAGATTGGACACATCCTTTGCAAAAAATGGGAAGACTTGGTACCAACAGACAAAGAGACCTATTTAAAGATGGTAAAGTGAAGCGAAGTTATTTAGGATACAAATATTGGCACTTATTTACTCAATAGTTGGTCATCAAGTGAGGGAAGAAATAATAAGTGTGTTCTTATTCCCAATTATTTCTTCAAGTTGAAGTTATTTAATCACTCAAACCCATAATAAATCATATAATATTTAGAAGCATTGTTAATATTATACAATTATTAGTATGATTGATGGGCCTGGAACGACTACCAAACAAATAAGCAGACGCCAGCTAAGCATCAGTTACATACTTAACAAAATAATCAATCATTGGAAGCCTAGATATCCTTGCCTTTTGATCACAATCCAAGCTTTGAACTTCACAAAGTCTATGTTTTCGAAATTAAATTGTGTTGTTCAAGGGGTTGTGCGTGATTGTTTGTGAAGATCACACTTTGATGATGATCACTTCAAACTTCATTTTTAATTAGTTGTACATATTTAATAATTTAAAAGAGAGAAATAATCATACATATATATTACATATTACATTAGAGTTGTATAATAATAATAATAATTGATTCAACACAAACATGTATAGAAACCAATACGATTCTGATATTACAACTTTCAGTCCTTCAGGCAGAATTCACCAGATTGAATATGCTATGGAGGCTGTCAAGCAGGGCAGTGCAGCGATCGCACTCAAGTCGAAACAGTACGCCGTACTGATCAGTTTGAAGAGATCGAGCTCCGAGCTGGGCTCCTACCAGAAGAAGATATTCAACGTCGATGATCACATTGGCATTGCCATCTCTGGTCTCACCGCCGACGCCAGAGTACTGTGCAACTACATGCGAAATGAATGCTCCAACTATAAATACGTATACGAGGCCGATATGAGAGTTGAGAGACTTGTTACCAAGGTTGCAGATAGTATTGTATCGTTCATTCATTCAATCAATCAATCAATCAATCAATCAAAGGACATTCATTCAACTCGATATCGATCACTAACATTGTCCCAATCAAACACAAACACAGAGTCACAGGTGCATACACAGAGATACGGAAGAAGACCATATGGTGTTGGTCTGTTGGTAGCTGGCTATGATGTAAGCTATCCTAACCTCATTGATTACAAGACAAAGACACTAACATACAGCATCGTGATGTATAGCAAACCGGAGCTCACATTTTCCAGACATGCCCATCAGGCAACTTCTACTCGTACAAAGCTATTTCGATTGGCGCTAGATCACAGTCGGCCAAGACCTATCTGGAGAAGCACTTTGAGGTCTTTGAGACATGCTCACTGCAAGAGTTGATCGTTCACGGTCTTCGTGCTCTTCGTGAGACCATCCCCAACAGCGACACTGGTCTCAACTCCAAGAATGTATCCATTGGCTTTGTTGGACACGATCAAGCATTCAAGATTATTGAAGGAGATGATACACAAGCCTATGTAAGTGTAACCTAATACCTTCATCGTCATCATCATCATGTACTAACCATTTCTTACAACAAATGTCGCTGTAGCTTGACTCAATTGAGAATGAGGCCGCTGAGGGTGAGGGAGAGGCCATGCAGGTTGGCAACTAAGTTCATACACAGGTAGAGTTGATTGATAACTGCCACAACCAACAACAACAACAATCAGGTGATGATGCAAGCAATAGGGTATCAATCAATCCCTCGCAATAAATATATCCTTTTAGATAATATAACAAGTAGAATGATTGATTGTAGTGTATAGTATATGAATGACAATGGGGTTTATTAGAGTCCTTGATAGACCAGACCTATTTAATGGGTTCTTCTGGCAGTTCTGAACAACAGAGTATCCTTCTGAGCATCGAAGCTGATGCGCATCATCAAGAGAGAACCAAAGATGACAGCCAACACGAGGATGATGGGCAAGAAGAGGAAGACCTGGAAGAGAGCGGTGGCCTGGGAGTCAGCAGCAAAGTCTGGGCTGTTGTAGCTGTTGGACGAGCTGGCATTGATCTGGAGCAGACGGATGTCAAACTCTGGGTGGGCAATGCAGTGGACCTTGATCTCAGCAGAGACGACCTGCTCAAGCTCGTCACAGAGAGTCTGGCGCTCGGCCTTGGAGTCGTACTGCAAATAGACGGTTGGGGCAGAGGCAGCGCCGACAATATGCTCGCCAGCGACCTCGGCAATCTGGTCGATGAGCTGCTGGTCAGCAGCGGGCATACCTGGCATGACGAGGACCTCGCAGGCAATACGGCCGTAGAGACCGTTGAGCTGCTCGTAGGCAGACTGCATGGTCTTGTCGACGAGCTGCAGGGCAAAGCTGTAGAGGGCGGACTCCTTGTCCATACCGTTGAGGGTGGCAAAGGTGAAGGAGATCATGTCGGGGACAGAGTCGGCGACGGCACCGTTGAAGGCGTTCTTCTCGGAGAACATGCGGACGGTCTTGTAAACAAAGGTCAACTCCTTGAGGAGGGCGCTGTACTGGTCAATGTCGATGGTGACCTTGCTGCCAACGGCGCTGAAGATGGTCAGCTGATCGCCAGCGAGCTTGGTGGACCAGCCGGTGGGGAGGACAAAGTTTCTGAACTCGTTGGCGTACAACATACGCTCAATGTCGGTGATGGTGAACTTGAACTGCTCGTCTCTGTTGTATCCGTACAAGGACTGCATCTGGTAGGCACCGCTAAAGACGGCGTGGTAGTTGCCGTTGGGGTACTGCTTGGCAACGTCGCGGTGGACGGCGGAGGCACCGGTCATGGCCGAGCTGGAAGAGCCCGAGATGATGAGCGATTGTCCAGCGTAGGTCTGGGTGAGGACGTCGGCCAAGTTGGCAGAGAGGGCGATGGCCTTCTCGCGGTAGGCGTTCATACGCTCAGCACCTGGGGTCTCCCAGTGGGAGCCAACGATTCCGTGGACGTCTGGGGTGACACCAGTGGCAACGGTGGCCAACTCGGCAACAGAGTCCATTGGGTAGAATGACTTCTCGACATTGATGGCATTCTCAGTGTTGAGGAATGACAATGAGGCCTTGGACAAGTCAGCTAGTAGTAATAGTGATTGAATGAGTGATTGAGTATGTTAGTTGATTGTTCGATTTGATCGATTGAATGAATGAGTGCATGATGTGGACATGGACATACCAGATGAAACACCATCGAGACCGAAGAAGAGGTTCAACTTTGGCTTGTTAAAGACTGAGAGCTTTGGGAAGCCAGTTCTGTCATCGCTACCCATTGGGATAGTGCCCATGGTGTGTGAGATGAGAGAGGCGATCTGAACGTCCTTCATGTTGGTGAGCTCAACATTTGAGTAAACGTTGCCCTTGAGGAACAACAATGAGTTTTGCTTGAACTGTTATGATTGATTGATGATGATATCGCTTGTAAGTATATGCTGTGTTCAAATGTTGTCTGATGATGTGTTATAACAATACATACGATTGGTGATTCGATGATGATATCAGCAGATCTCTGTGAGAAGTACTTGATCTCTGATCTGACCACACTGAATGTGACGGCCAGTATCAAAATAAGAATGATTGACTTCATCTCTGTATATGTGTATATATAAATATAAATATGTAATAAGTGTTAGAATTTGATAATGTGTCAAAGAGAAAAGAGAAAGCAAGAGACAAGTAGAGAGCTGAGCTCAATGTGGGTGTGTGAGCGAATGAAAAAAAAACTAATACACAAAGGAGAAAAACGACCTGGGAACCAGGCAAATTGGAAAAATCTGGTCAAGAAAAACCTGGTTCTGATTGTTTTTTGAACTTCCATCATTAACCCATCTCGAGAACTTATCAACAGTTAATATTAACCAGTGAATAGACTCATGAGGGGGTTGGGAAGTAATGTCAAGTCAATGAGCATGACATTGAGAAAAGGACAATGTGGATAGGTTTGATTGTTGTTGTGGAGAGAGACTTGAATTGACAAGTCGAAAACAGAGAGAAAATTGAGAAGGAATGGGTTTGATATTGTGTGTGAAGTTGTTTAATTGCACTCTGACTATCGTCAACTACTCAATTTATCAATCATTGTTGTGTTTAAACACACAATTATACAATTACTACTTTATATCAAACAATCATTCAAACAAACAAACAGACAATAATAGGTGGACCGACTACCAACCAACACTTTAACACATCACTGACTGAGCTCAGTCAAACAATCAATCAATAATCATATGACTACAAACATAAATATACCAGCTTCATTTCAGGAGCAACATCTTCAACCAGTGATATTGACACCGAGTCAATATAATAAATTGGCCAATGATGTCACTCTGTTGGAGCAACACATCCTGCCCGACTATATACATCCTGAGCACACGGAGCTCCATGCACTTGGCCAGGAGCCCACAGTACAACAGAAGCAGTTGGCATTCTTGCTGAAAGAACAATACTATCGATGGTCCAAAGTAGGCGAGTTCGTTGTCGGATTGGCGACGGGCCAGGCACAGCCACGCAAACAGCTCACACTCGATGTGCTCAAGATCACCATGTCCAACCTCACACAGCTGAATGAGTATCGCAAGAACATACAGCTCGGCACAACCAACCTGCTCACATACATTGCACAAGAGCGCTCAGAGTCGCTGCAGGAGGAGCATCGAGTGAGCGAGATAAACATGCTCGAGGCGGCAGAGGAGGAGCGCAAGGAAGGACTGTCCGATGCCAACACACAGAAGCAGCGCAAGATCAATGAGCTGAACTACAGGAATCCCGAAAGGATCGACCCAGAGGATCAGATTGATGTTTTGCGAGAGACTCACGCAGATGAGCGCGAGGAGCTCAAGGAGAAGCTGCAAATAATGAACGAGATATATGGTGAGGACCCTTATCGTTGGCAGGAGAGTTTCAATCAGTTGTCAACGAGACACAATCGAGAGATGGCAGATCTGAAACGAGAGTATCGAGGCATAGTTGGCTACAGTGATGAGCTTCAGACGATTACAACAGAGTACGAGGAGGAGAGGGAAGCAGTGCGAGCAGCGTATGAGCAAAAGAAGAAGAATATAACAAACAAGAGGCTGAAAACGTTGCAGAAGACGATTGATCAGTACAATGCTGAGGTCAAGGAGTTAACAGATGCGAGCAAGCCCAAGGTCGTGGAGGTGGTCGTCGAGAAGAAGGTATACGTTGACAAGCCTGTGGTCGTCGAGAAGATAGTCTATGTCAACAAGCCAGTGGACAAGATCGTTGAGAAAGTTGTCGAGAAGATCGTCTATCTCGAGAAGCCAACCGATCTGCCGCCACTTGTCCCTACCGCGACTCACCCAATGTTCTTGCCATCCAATCCAAAGACGACCTCCACAACAACAACTACAACCTCGACAACAACAACAGCATCCTCAGCGTCAACCAAGGCATCAGTGATAGCACCTGCGCCAATACCAGCACCACCACCAGCACCAATCAAGACAGACAAGCCAGCCAAGAGTGGTGGTGTCGAGATGGTCGTAGGAGAGACATACGATGCATTGGAGAAGATAAGGATCAAGCGAGAAATGATCAGTGTGGAGTTGGCGCAGGTTGTCGCCAATCTGAAGACTTCGCACGTTGGAAAGACGACAAAAGAGATTGACCAGATGCCACTGGAGCTGCAAGCACCTCTCAGGGCAGCACTCAAGGCGGAGAAGAAGTTGTACAACAGGAAGAAGGTGCTGTCATCCAAAATGGCAGTGCTCAACGAGCGAGAGAAGATCATGAGATTCTATTACACGCGACAAGATGTTCCACTGCTACTGGCGCCATCCAGCGAGAGCAAGTCTGCACTGACAATGGCATCACACAAACTAATGGAGGATCTGCGAGTCAAGGATGACAGAGGACTGGCCATGATTGGCAACATCAGGAACCTATTGATCAAGCACTTCAGAGGTACTAGATCATCATTCGTGTTGGCATGACACTGCTCATCTTCATCAACACATGCACTGACACTATCAATCATTCATTCATCATTCATTACATCACAGGATACCGCATCGATGTACACCTATTTGGATCATCAGCCAATGGATTGGCATTCGTAAACAGTGATCTGGACATCTCATTCCTCACCGACAAGCCTGTCGATCAGGTCAGGACAACTCATAAGATATCAAGCATTCTCAAACAGAGTATGTATTCATTGGAAGGACTTGGACCTTAAAGCCGATGATGAGTCCTTACTTCCACTCGATCAAACATACAGATAACTATGTGGACATTCTACCAATCACTCGCACAAGAGTACCAATTGTGCGCTTCAGAGATGAGAAGACAAACCTATCGTGTGACCTCTCAATCAATAACCCTCTGGCCATCCACAATAGCAGGATGATATACGACTATTGCCAGATTGACAATCGCGTGCGACCAATGGCCTTTGTCATCAAGAAATGGGTAAGGCCAACCAGAGTCCCATCACTCCAATGCCTCACTCACTAACTCACTCATAAATACATACTTAGAGCAAGGTCAGATGCATCAATGACGCATCAAAGAACACATTACACTCTTACTCGTACGCAAACATGCTGATACACTTTTTGCAACGAGAGAAGATAAAGTTGCTGCCGTGCCTACAGCAGATGGCCAATGGCTTTGTGCAAATATCGAATGGCAAGAAGTATGGCAATGGCCAGATCATGCAGGATCAGATGGTGGATGGCCACAACGTCAAGTACTACAAGAACATCGACAGTCTCATGCTGTTTGGCAACCACAACCGAAGCAGTGTTGGCGATCTGTTGTTTGAGTTCTTCAAGTACTATGCCGTGGAGTTTGATTATAGGCAGACGATAAGCATACGTACTGGCACACTACTAGAGAACAAGCAATGGGAGGACGATCGTCGCGAATATTACCTCAACATTGAAGACCCCTTTGATGTCACATTCAACATTGCGCGATCCATTCGCAAGCCACATCACCTGGCCGCCATTGTCCAGGAGTTCCACCGAGCCTACCAACTACTCTCGAACAACGGTACCATCAGTGATCTGCTCAAGGAGAAGGAGCAGCCATCATCTGGCGATCAACCAAAGGTAAAGAAAGAGCCCAAGTCAGCAGTATTATAAACAAGTTATTTAATTAATTAATTAAGTAATATTACAATTCAATTGATGGTGGTAATGATGATGATGTTGATGATGCTGATGATCAGGATGTGGAGGAGGATGGGCCGGTGTGGAACTTGATGGGAGGACTGTCCCAATGGATGATGGGTGACATTGTTCGTGCGTTGACGAGGTAGGAGCGTAGTGTTACAGTGTTGGTCTTGGCAGGCTTGTTTGTTACACAACATGTTATGGTAGGATTCACTGAACATCTACCAGTACGATCAACATGTGATAGCTCGTTGGCAATGGAGAAGTGAGTGGTCTTTAGAGGAATGGTACGAATGATCAGTTCGTCATCATTGTTGATGTGGCCTTTGATCTGGTACTCAATGTTGCTGATGCGGTCATGAGTGATCTCCTGAGGGTACGTGGCCGACTCAAGGTCAAGTCTCTGCACACACACTGAGTGCACCTTGGGTACGATCTTGTGTGGCACATTGTTGATCAAGGGAGGCAGAGCCTGAGTCTGAGGGATCTTGTTATCGAGTAGATGATGTATTGGACCGATGTTGTCAAAGCTGCGTGTCAAGGATGGAACTGATGATGATGATGGTCCAGGATTGAGAGAGTAGATTGGAGGATTGAGGAGGTCTCTCATGAGCATGTTGTTGCTCACAGAGGATTGGCTGCTGACCAAGTACTTTAGGTCACCCATAGGTCTGATCGACAGTCCCTTCAGGCCATCATTATCATTTGCTTGTGGTCTTGGTATAGAATACATGTTTAGTTAGGTAAGTATACTTTTATATATATCTATATCTTTATGTATTAGTCCTCTTAGTGTTACTGTAGTGTAGGAGTGAGTGGCACGTGATGTGTTGTGCGATGCATGCGTGATTAGTTTAGTGCAGAATGAACAAACAACAGTCATCAAGACATCGGCCCAAACCATCTTAGAGAATTACATGAGAGCCACACTCACACCATCACTGATTGATTCCTGTTATCTTGGGTCACCACATCATATTATTGTGCTGCCCAATAGCCAAACTCAAATTTGAGCAAGACGACAAACTCCACCACCAGTGGGTTGAATGAATGGCTTGGTAACGTTTTATTGTCCAGCCAGCTGATGATTAAAGTTAGGATGATGATGAGATGGTTGTTGGCTTTACTGTCCATCATAAAGTTGAAGCAGGCCACACCATCCTCGTTGATCAACAGCGTCATTGTCATTGATCTTGGTCCATTTATCACGTTTGATTGAGTATCGGTAGTTGTAATCTGTACCTTGAAGGAATAGTAGAGTATTGGGCTCGGAGGTGCATCGACATAATATGTTGATCTGTGGACCAAACTCATCTACACCGTCATCCACACCACCTTCAGACTGGAAATCGAGATCAGGTTTGATGGGCGGAGGTGTCAGATCGGACTGTCTCTTTGTGGACAATGACATGCTGGTAAATTGTCGGCCACGTGCAAACATGATGTACACCTTGTCCTGGCCATCGTATGCGAATGTATCAATTCTACTGGGTAGATTGACGATTGTTTCTTCTTTGGTGACCAGGTTGTAGATGAGGTAGGTGTCCTCCAAATTAAAGCCGCCAAAACAGTAAAGGATGTTGGAGTGTAGGATAAGGTTGGAGGTTGCTATGGCGTTCTTGAGAGTGGCAAGATGTTGGAACTGTTTCGTCTCGATGTTGAACGTGTCCACTCGATTCTCAGTGGCTTTATTAATGCCACCAACCAAGTATATGGTCTTGTCTCCATCGTACACAGTCGAGATGTAGTATCCACCTTTGACGCCACCCTCAATCTTGTTTTCGAAGTGCCACTGACGGTCGGCCAGTGAGAAGCGGGAATATGTATCATCGCCATTAGTTCCAAATATGTAGGCATTGCCACGAGCATATACTGCAGCCGTGTACAGGTCACCACTGTACTCATCACCTTCATACTCGTGTACGGTCCATGTGTTGGTCATTGGTGAGAAGAATGAGTAGGTCTCTGATCTAATGCACATGACCTGATGATCAAGGTCATGAGTGAACTTCTCGATTGGGACATCCTCAGCATCCATGAGCAGGATGCATGACTTAACTTGATCTCTGATATGCTCTACTGTATTGAGGTCGGCTTGCATGTTCATGGGTCGCGGAACAGTATACTGTGTTCCGATCTTCTGGACATATCCTTTGATCAAGGTCATCAACTCGTTGTCTGTGATCTTGACCTCGGTTGACTCTTTGGACGGATCAGTGTCTTGACCGGTCTGAAGTGATTGTTGAATGAACTGCTCAATCGATGTGCACTCTCTGATTGATTGATTGATGTCAATGTCCGTCGTGTCCATGTCAATGTCTGATTTGTTTGTTAGTTTGAATATGCTGTTGATGGTCTTGATCTCATCGACAATGTCATTGATTGACGATTGACATTGTTGCAATCTCTCATTGATTGGTGAGTTGATCCTATGCTCCTCAACAATGAGCATGTCATGTAATAGTTTGATTGGATATTGAATCACGTGTAACTATCAATGATTGATGTGTTGTAGACAATTGTTTAAGTTTGATCCATTGTTGATTCAATCTTAATAATGATGGCTCGTTATATTGTCTCTGATTGATCAATAATCTTAAATGATCTACATTCTCCACCTCATGTCTCCGATGTTTATCACTAATACACATCTCACAAATCAAACTATTACAATCTATACATAAGAATCTAAATTGTTTAGAATGAGCCTCGCAACAATCGTCTGCTGCTGGCAGCAACTGATTATTATTATTATTATTATTCTGCATATCTATTATCTGTATATTATTGTTTGTAAGATGTTCACTATTCAATTGAATTAATGGTCAAATAATGGATCTTCAGGAACGAATTGGCGCCAAATGGTGGGTTTGACTTGGGAAATTGAATAATCAAGTTGTTGTTGGAGTTGATGCGCTTGAACATAGATGACACTTATTATCACTTTCAATCCATCAATCAACCAATCAATCATACAAACAAACAAACAATGAATAGATTGATCATTCCTTTCAATCAGTCATGGAGACAACTTCACTCAAGTTTGATGAATAGCTGTACATCATCATCTCCATCACTGACATCTCTTACATCATCCCAAATCAACCTGTGTAGATTGTTCCAACTTCCATCTCCACAATCAACAACATTAATAACATCCTTGTGTCGTTTCAACAAACTCAATAACAACAACATCATATCTTCCTCCACTCCACTGTTTGATTCAAACAGATGTATTGGTAGTAGTAGTAGTACGACAATTTCCAAACGATACTTTGGAGGGGCAAGAGGAGGAGGAGGAGATAATGATGGTTGTGGTGATGCAACATGTGACCATACACTTGATCAACATCTTACACATCAACAGATCGAGAGATTAGAGTCGTTGATACAGCAAGTAGAGGTGGCATCACACACTGATCAGTATGAAGAGATTGTGTCCATCACTCAGAGTATCCTCCGAATGGTGCCATCACACATTGAATCACTCAATGCGCAGGGTCGCGCCTATCTCATGCTGGGACAGCCTGCCAAAGCTTTGAACTCGTTCACCACCTGTCGCAACTACCTAATGATGGACGTGCCAGAGTCTGACATCGACCTACATTTCACTCGCAACCTGCATCACCTCCAGTATAACATCGCCAAGTCGCTCAGCATGCTGGGCCAGAACGATGCGGCCACCAAGCTGCTCGAGTCCATCCTCTCCATCAGGTCGACCCAACCATTGGACTGCTACCAATTACTTCTCGACCTGTATCAATGCAAGGACCAAAACATCATTCAGGGCATCGACAGGATCATGTCAGCCAGTGATTCCAATTGGGATCCCGTGCCACTGTGCGTCTATCTGATCAATGAGCTGGACAATAGGAAAATAGAGACGCCACAGGTGCACGCCAAGCTCAATGATATCGTTCTGGGTACATGTCCCAACATCGAGGAGTTTGATCAGAATGTTCACTGCGACAACTTGTACGAATGCTTGTTGAGACGAACCTTGCTCGATGCGGTACTGTCACCGGACACTTATAAACAGAGGTTGCTGGACCTGATGCATATCAAGCCAAAAGAGAAGTTTGGCTTCAACATACGGATACTCCTTCTCACCAGTTTGCCAAGCGGGTCTCAAGAGTTGCATCAAATGATCACAGAAATTGAATCAAACGAGTCCTTGGTTGACTCGATTGTATGTTTAAATATCACTGGAACCAATCCAATATCATCTTCACTCACTCACTCAACCAACCAATCAATCAAACACCAACCTCTTAGAAAGGTCTTCCATACTGGACACAGGTAAGACTGGAAAAGTTGGTCGCCACAATGAAGACAATGTCTATAGAGGACGCCAGAGAATACCTAAAGAAGATTGAGGAGTCTCCATTCAATCAAGAGGTAGGTCTGCTTTATACATTGATCTATTTAACTCTGGCCAAAGAGATGATAATGCGATCAGAGAGGAAGTATTGCAAGGACTTTTCAAAGTTTGTCGAATGGCTGCCAGGTGGACGGACCAACGAACTCGTGCGACAGCTACCATGGATCACAGATCCCACAGAGAGCGCCAAGCAGGTACATCAGAGATGTGTTCAAATGATTGCTCAACTGGATACATACCATAACGCCAATGGTTCATCATCATCATCAATGGATGACATTCGTTACATGTATGAACTGCTGGAAAAGACAACCGCGATACCCTTAAGTCCAAGGGGTCCAGAGCCCCCCGTTGTGTCGGTCCACAACCAACTGCTCATTGATCTGATCGATCAAAAGTTCATTTCACCGGCGAAGCGATACCATCACTGGGACCCATTCGCCAGAGTGAAGTGGGATTCATTGGATTCCGAGCCTTCACTTGACACGATATTGAAGACACTTACCACTTTCATTCACTTGGACTATCAGTACACGCCAGATTCTGTTCTGAAGACGACTAAGCAGTCCATTGATGCGAATCCCGAGTACAGCATTGGTTACCTCGTGCATTCATACATGTCCGTGGTCAAATATGGTAGGTCCAACCTTGATGTTATGAACTCTGTGAACAAGGCCATCAAGTTAGATCGTTACAGAGATCAATCAGAGAGGGAGTATGGCCAGATACTGCTGGCACTGACCATCGTCGGTTTGCATTATAACGAGCAATCTGTCAACATATTGCAATCACTGTTGGAGGCCAACCCCAACCACAAAGAGGCACTTCATTCTTTGGCCTTGGTCTATCTCTGGACAAACATGTTGAATGAAGCCGAGCAGCACATTACCACCAGGGTGCTGACGGCTTATCCCGACTCTGTTCACGCTCGCATCACACTGGCCTATTGTAGAGATATGCGCGGTGTTCGAACGGGCGCACAAGAGGCCTATCAAACAATATACGATCTCGGACTTGAGTCTCCATCATCAACAACAGAACAAAACAGAATGATCCAAGAAGGATTGTTCGGTCTGGAGATAAAGAGTCTGTTGGATGACATGAAAGAGTTTGTAAGCAATTATGGCAATGACCAATCAATGCCAATCAGACAGGCCTACGATATCATCACCTTTATCCACATCACACTCAAAGAGATTGATATGGCACTCAAGACTGGCGAACTTGGCGGGCTCAGTGCACCCGAGGATGAACCTTATCAATCCGAGTATCTGATCACACTAGACTACTTTATTAGGGAATCCATCGCCATTTCTTTGATGCCATTGGCAGAACATAACATTTACTCGCCACGAAGCGTCTACCATCTGGTCGTGTTGGTACACACATTCCTCGGCAAGGCCTACTCGACAATTCCAGAACGATCATCCGATGCCATCCGCCACCTTCGCGCATCAATGTCCTTTTCCTGGCCGGCTTTCCCGAGTGACAACGACATCATTGACAAAGTAATCATTGAGCTGAAGTCAGTAGCAGAGGGTCTTTTAGTTCCACTGCTAATGGATCTCAAACGGTACGATGAACTTGAGCAACTTCAAATAGAGAAGACTGCACAATAAACATACTGGTCATGAGCATTTGGGGCAGAGACATATACTAATTCAATGACAAACAAATGTTGTTGGATATGATTATGATGGCTTGTAGATTGTATAAGATTGGCAAACAGACAACTGCGATATAAACATATTCAACAACATTTTATATACATGTAATAATACTACTATGGTTGAATTGATTGTGGACTATCGTATAATACACATTGGCCAACCCATCCTCTCATCACACTTGCGTCATTGTCTTCGAACCTCTTCCATCGATTGAGTTTGATTGAGTATCGATAGTTGTGACCTTGACCTTGAAGAAACAGTAGTGTTCCGGGCTCATATGAACAATGACATAATACATTGACTTGAGCTCGGTATGATTCATCAGGGTCCAAATCAGGGTTGATTGGCGCAGGTGCCAGTTCACATGTTCTCTTTGATGTCAAGGACATACTAATGAATCGTCCTTTACCGCCTTCGAACAAGATGTACACCTTGTCATGGCCATCATATACCAGTGAATCAATTCGGCCCGGAAGATCATAGTTTATCTCCTCAAAGGTGTCCAGATCGAATGTGATGTACTTGTTGAGATATTCGTTGGTTGTGAGGCAATTGAAGATGAAGAGTATGTTTGAGTGGACCAGGGTGAACGGCTCAAAGATGGGATGATCCAACTCTCCAACGGAATGGAATTGTTGTGTCTCAATGTCAAACATGCTCACCTTGGCTCCAAAGGTGCCACCAATCAAATAGATGTGCTTGTCTCCATCGTAAGCAGCAGACATATGATACATGCCATCGATCATATCGTGACAGTGCCATTGACGATCGGCCAGTGAGAAGCGAAGATACTTTTGATCATCACCGACTCCAAAGATGTAGACATTCCCTCGAGCGTACACTGTTGCTTTGTGTAGGTCGCTAAAGGAACCATCTATATCCTTTTCGATTCGTGTCCATGTGTTGGTCATTGGCGAGAAGAATGAATAGTTGTCTGATTCAATGTACATGATATGATGATCAAGGTCATGAGTGAACTTCTCGGCCATCTCCATCAATGTAAAGCATGATTGAACTTGCTCTCTGATATGGTCCAATGTGTTTTGATCAATTCCAACGTCGCATGCTCTTGTCATTTGATAGTCAGCAGTACGCGAACATGTGTTAATCTGTTGCATTACTGTCAGCAGTTCAATGTCTGTGATTGTGATCACAGGGACATCTATGTCGGGAGATGATGATGACGAAGACGACGATGACGACTGGCTGTGTGTGTATGTATGCTTGATGAACTGATTGATGGATGTACATTCTCTGATTGATTGAATGATGTCAACATCGACATTGCTTAACAGAGATGATGGATTGAATATGTAGTTGATTGACTTGATCTCATCGATGATGTTATTGATTGTTGATTGAGTTTGTTGTAATCTCTGATTGATTGGTGAGTTGATCCTGTGCTCCTCAACAACTAGCATGTCGTGTAATAGTTTGAATTGTTCAGATACTGAGTTGCGGGACATTATCAATGATTGATGTGTAGTAGCAAGTTGTTGAAGAGTACTCCATAGTTGATTCAATCTTAATAATGATGTCTCATTGTATTGTCTCTGATTGATCAGTGATCTCAAGTGATGTACATTCTCCACTTCATGTCTTCTATGTTTATCACTTATACAAGCTTCACAAATCAAACTATTACAATCTATACACAAGAACCTAATCTTTTTGGAATGTATCTCACAACAACTATTGTTCTGTTGTATCTGTATCTGTTGTTGTTGTTCATTCATTATCTTTCTCTGTGTGTGTTTGGAAGGTTCTTTTGATTCTGGAATTGATTGAACACAGTGTGTTTGTGCTCAAGATCACACACCATTTTTAATTGGAAGGGCTGTCATGTTCTTGAATGAGACTAGATCGTCAATTATAATACTCTCGATCCAAACCTGTTTCATACTCCATTTACAATGATAGTTCAAACATTGTTTATAAATAATAATCGACCTTATCGATAATTAATATCATCAAAACAATCAATCATAACAAACAAACAAGTAATATAGACGCCTTACCTCTATCAAATATTTTTTCTCTTTATTTAAATACTCACAATATATATATATAAATATAATAATAATAATGGGTCTCTTCTCAAGAAAGCATAAATCAAACATCAACACTGCCACTGAGGTTCCTCGAACAACTGTGACAAATACCAAGGTTGTAGCGACTCCAGCAACGGTACCACATTACAACTTTAAGTTCAGAGAACTATCAGGTGGCCGAAGGTATCCAAGAAATACTCAAGGGTATTCTGGAAGGAAGAATATTAGAGATATTTGATAAATACTATCACAAGGACATTGTGATGTATGAGAAGGGCGATTCAACCAACCGTGTGGGCAAGGCGGCCAACAGGATTGCCGAAGAATCCTTCATAAAGAATGCTACATTCCATGAAGCAAGAGTTGAGAAGTTGATCATCGATGGCAACAACACTGCATACCAGATGTATTTAGACTTCACTTATGGTGGACACAGAGTACAAAAGACTCAATGGGCAATGCAAGAGTGGAAGGATGGTCTTGTCATCAAAGAGGAGTTCAACTAATTTAATCAAAATATATATAAATAAATAATAATATTGTACATGTGTCTAAATCATTATTCATTCCTTCATGTTGGATACCAAGTCTGGAATTGATTAATTCTTCGAAACTAAGATTCTAGATATTTTTGAAACGACACATCTAAGGTGATCAAAAGTAGTTCCTTTTTTTACTTCTGTCAATCAATCAAATATTAACAATGATAACAAATAATAATAGTAATATAACAAAGGTACTCACAAATCGTACATTATTCAAGTTTATAATAGCTTCATATTCACATCCACTACTATTTAATAATCAAGATGATGTTGATAAAGATGATGAAGATCGAAGGAAAGGACATAATAGGTCAACAACTCTAATGATGCAAGGAAACTATTACATTAGAACAAAGTATCATCATTGGACTGACTTGATATCACTGGTCAAACATAAACAGTTTGGATTGTTACGTGATCGTATCAAACTCAACTTACATATAACAATCAATCGTCAATCAAAGACTAAACATGGTTCAATCAAGGCATTGTGCGAAGCCAGAGACATTGATCATGACACATTCATTGACGTGTACAACAAGTATCAACGATACTTCTGTGACGCTAATACCTTGCGATGGGCAATCGAGTCTGATAACCTGGTCGTTGTACAGACATTGATCAATCAGACACAACCAATATCATTTGAACAAAGTGATGAGTTACTCAAAATGGCACTGGCAAGTGGATCACTCAATGTTCTCAAGTACCTCATTGACTTGGGCCGATTCAACAATGAATCACTCTGGACTGTACATGTTGACAGGGTGTTGTTGGGAGAAGTGTTCAAGCATCCTTCGGTACTTGACATTCTTAATGATCCAAACAACACTCAGTTGCCAAAGGAGTTGGTCACCAAGATTAAATCAAAGACAAGATTGTACTTCAGTGAGATCAGGGCAACAGGTGACCAAAGATTAATCAATGAACTATTGATCAATAATGGTGCGATCAACAGTTTGAATTCATATGATTTATCGTCAACAACTTGGACCATTCCCAAAAATATTACGCCCTCTGAACAGCTGGCACACTTTGAACGGATACTCAATAGTGATATCAAGGTTGATGATCACGAGATGATATTATCAACCTCAAAGAACACTGCTCAATCATTATTGGATAAACTTGGAGTAGTCTTGGATACAATTGACGAGCACTGTGTGAACAAGATTGATGATGCCCAACTCATCATCTTTATCAAACTGGAACTAATCAATACCCGAAGAGAGATGACTCATGACAGGTTGGTGAATTATGTGTATCGCGAATATATCACCACAGGCGACTTCCAACTCATTCCATTCTTCATGCGACCAGGAAGATTTGGTGGTTTCGATGGACATCGTGCTCAGACATTATTCCGAATGATCACATCACATGGCAACACCACCCAGGCAATGGTCGCGATGGAGTATATTAACAAGACTAGAGATACTTACGTATACGGTCGACCACATGAATTTGATCCCTTCACAGACCAATTCCACTGCTTCAACACGGCCAGTGACATGTCGCGCAGCTTCGAGGTCATCAAGTATCTCAACAGCAAGAATGCCGTCCAGCCTCTCGACACACTCCGACCCAGAGAGTTCAGAGGTACAATGGAGATGTTGGAGTTCATCCTGTCTGATGTGAATAAGATATTCCCAATCAATGTGATCAGGAATAAGTTGTTGGTTCTAGACAACAATCAATTGGAGTATATATTCAAGACCAAACCAGAGATATTACAGGACAAAGAATGGGAGACTATATTACAATATGTAGTAGTATTGGCACGTCTGGATCTGCTCGGCACCTTGCTCAAACATGCCCCTGATGTCACAAGGTTAACATCACTGACACAGTGGGCATTCCATTATACACTTACCAACCGAGGTCGATACAATGATATGATTAGGATGATGGTCGAGCATGGCATCAAACCAAACTTGGCAATATTTGCACAAATTGGCCGACTTGGCGATGTTGAACTCTATGACTACTGTCTCAAATTCTTTGAGCGTCATGATCAAGATGCCTTGCCATATGGGTCAGCGAATGGCACAGACCTTTGTGACGCTCCCACCAACGCACTCGTTGGAGCGATTGAGCTTGGACATGTCAACATGATCAAACATTTATATCAACAACATCATATGGATTCACAAATGAGAGATAGACGACAACATTTGGAAGCTGTTACTAATGGAAACAATGAGGTGTTGCAGTTATTGTTCAAAGTCGATCCGCTTGACCCCGAGAAAGACAAGAAGTACATTGATGAGTTGTTTGTGGTTGCAATGAATGAGGGCCACATCGAGACACTTGACTGTCTCCTCAACAATGTTGATCGAGTCTCAAAAGCAAGATTCATGTCGACCAATATCATTATCAAACCATTGATAGAGTTGGGTAATGTTACAATGTTGCAGCACTTGGTGGATATTGGTGCATCGTTTGACTTGAGGAGGGTACACACCATGAAGGTGTACAAGAACAACCAGACAATTCAATCAATAGTCTCCCATTACATAGACCAGACTGCCAACTTGTTGAGGAAACCAAAGCATCTAACCAAACGCGATCTTGAGGCATCAACATCATCATTAGCACAGATGGCAAACAAGAAGAATAAGAAGAAATAAAGTCTTCCAGCGCACACCTTCACCCCCCCTTTTGTGATCACCTGACGATGTTTGATCAGATGAATCAGTGTTTGGAAATAGATAGCAAGTTCATATGTATATCTTTGATGCTGATCACTGTTGGACAATGTACATATGCAATGGACACTTCACAATCTCACTGCACTGCTCTCACTCACTTACTCAAGGATCTTTACGAAGAGGTGCGAGCGAGTTCACGAGGATATTATTGGATCAATGATCACTGTTGATCAAATCAGAGGTGCTCCGACCAACAATCACACATGCCAAGAGTGTTTGATTGGAACCGTTAAGTATATGTGTATGTATGTGAGTGAGTGTTAGGGAGTGTGAGTGGACTTGTCGTCAACAGCCCAGCCTACCATGCTCAAACTACGTCATGACTCTACTCTAATCATTCATTCAATCAATCAATCAATCAAACAAACAATCAAACACACACATCAATATCAAACAAGTATGTATTGAGTAAATGACTTGATTAAGGATGACTTATTACCGACTATTCCAAAAGAGGATGGCAGATGTCCATAATACATCATCAGATGGCTCACTACACTTCCCAACAGCTTGCAAGCTCAACAACCAGCTCGTCAGGGCATTGTAGCGGTCAACTCTAGGTGTAATGGGTTGCATTGCGATCTTAAATATTGTGATCACGCAGTCCACCCATTGTCAGATGATACACAATCCAACTTCCGTCACACACTCTGTCAAGTTATCCGTCTGATTGATTGATTGTCCACCCCAACACACACACTCACACACTCACACACTCACAGACACACCCCAACCACATGATCAATTACATTGTTACCACTCTACACACGACACACAACACACCTACACTTCCACATCATCACCCCCACCCGTCCCATCTTCCACATCACCCTGCCTCTTATCACCCTACAACATGTCCATCCATCATTCATTATCAGCAGATGATGATGGATACATGCTAATCATGTTGTCTTGATCAAGACAAACAATAATAATAATAATATTTGAGTGTCTTTGATGTGTGTATGATTGATTGATTGATTGATGTAACACCTGTCGCTGCCGTCCGAAATGGCTTGACATACTGTAGTAGCTAGCCATCCATCCAGCAATCCAGCCATCCATCCATCCATCCATCCGTCCCATCAACTAGGAAGGACAGCGCAGCCGACATGTCGGCGAGGATGGAAGTAGCCATCAACCAAACATATCACGTTCCAATCCATCCCATCAACATCACATAACATTTAGCCAACTTGTTACTACTGTGTAAGGAAGAAACAAGGTTATTATTAATATTATTATTCTTATTATTATTATCAATTATTATTATTAATTATCAGGTATTATCATCATTATTATTATTATTATTTATAAATGTTGGATATTGAATACGAGAATTATGGTTCAGTGAAGAACTTGAACGAACTATTGGATGATGTTAGAAGTGTTGTGGTCGTGGCTGATATGCATGGAAATCCACTTGCAACAATGACTGCTCCAGCTGTATCATCAACTTCAACTTCGACATCAGGGACACCAACAACAGGAATGAACAAGTCAAGTGCGTTAAACAGGAGTATGGCATCACTGATGACACAAAGTGGTGGAGATGCGAGTAGTAGCAATTTGGTCAAGTCCAACAGCCAGCCACAGATGCTTCTGAAACAGCAACAACAGAATATCGGCGCATCACAGACCAACCTCAAGTCATCCAACAGACTCAGCCAGTTGATAACAGCAAATCGTGGACAACAACAAAACTCAATTTCAAACACAAACTCACCATTAATCACAATTACACATGCAAACTCAAACTCAATCAAAAATTCGAATCAGCGAAATCCAGCGTCACAACCACAATCAGTGAGCTCCACAACAACACCATTGATCAACAACAATCAAGACTTGGATAAAGCACCTTTGAGCGAATTGATCGTGTTGCTCGGAAGGAATAGACAGGGCGCAGTACATATCTCTGCGATCAAGTTGATAGCCAACATGTACCAGGTGGCTAAGAAGACATCGGAATCACACAAGACTAAGTTCATCCAGGAGGTGCTCAACGGATCGTGTCTCAAATCACTGCTCTCATTCATGACATTGATCGAGCCATCATCCAATCAATCACACGAATATAGTGTACAGTGGGAGAGTGTGTCGTTGCTGGCAATGCTCACAGAGAATGAGGAGGTGAAGGTGTTTATCAAGAACACTGGTGATGCTCAGACTATTGTCTCGGTGCTGCAGTGGGCGCATAGGAATGGACAGTTCCTCGAGTTAAACATGCCACTGATCACACTCATCTCCAACTTGGCCACTCACGAGCAGTGTGCCTCCAGTCTCCGACGAAGTGGCTGTGTTCCCCCTCTCTTCACCCTTGCCATCAATCAAACAATGACCAAAGATCTTCGTATCCAAGCCATTAATACCCTTATAATATTCTCAAGTTACACTGGTAAGTACTAATTATTACGTTCATTGGAATGGTTCCAGTATCTAACCTCCATCAATCAATCATTCAATCAAAATTTAGATCCAAAAATCAGTGAAACCATAATAGATAGTCCATTATCATTCAAACGAATGATCATACATATTGTAGAATATGCTCCAAATGATGATACCATAATGATCTCGCTCAAGTTCCTAGATCTATTACTCAGATGTTCTGATTGTGGTATGTATTGTTCAATCACTCTTTGAATGGAACTATTCCACTAACATCAATCATTCAATCAAACAGCCAAGACAAGAATGTTTGCACTTGATGGTGGAACAGACAGTTTGTTGGATTTGATAGAGCCTGGAGACATCAATCAAGGATTGGATATTAGGATGCATCTTCAGGGACGTGTATTCCAATGTTTGGCTAAACTCGCACAGAATGAGGGTATCAGAGCAAAGATTGGTATATTCTCAATATCCAGTGCACTCACATATCTTCGTGTACTAAGTACTACTGATCGTGAGATTGATGTATCACTCCTTGACAAGATCCTCACACTTATCATTCAATTGTTGAACAATGGTAAACATATTCACTTCCATCATGATCACTCACTCATTCACTAACAATCAATCAATCAAATCCATTACAACAGATAATTGTCGAAGATCTTTCGTTGATAAGAATGGATGTACATTGATAGCATCGATGTTGTCATCTAGTGATGTTCCTTCTAGTATTGCGCTGTTGTGTGTACAGGTGTTGGCGCAGGTGGCCTCTTCAAAACAAGGTAGCATGGGTACAAACATTGTAGCCAGTATTGGTAGTGAAGTGATACCATGTTTGATTAGATTGTCCAAGACACATCCCAATGACAGATCACTTCAGTTGTTGACATGCAAGTTATTTGGTAGTCTTGGAGATAAGAGTATGTAACCATTTACACACAAGATGTACATACTCAATCAATCATTCATTCACACTAACTTTAATAATCAGATGACTTGAATGAGATAGTATGCCAGGAAGGAGGAGTTCAATTCTTACATGGTCTGCTCCAAAGTGATGATAATGAAGTGGCATCAGCCTCTTGTGAAGCCATAGCTGCACTCTCTGACAATTGTAAGTTTGATGATTCAATCACTGGAATCATTCCAATCACACATACTAACAATCAATCAATTAAATTAGATGTTGTCCAAAGGGAACTAAAGGTGAACAGTACGATTGGCCTGATAGTTAGATTGTTGAATGGAAACAATATCCATATGAAGAGATGTGCAATCTCAATCCTACATAATATGTCCTGTGATGGTAAGTTTGAGTGATGGACAATCAAGACCCAATACTAACATGGACAATTTATTAGAAGGTGGAATTCCATCAATATTGGATAGTGAGAAGGGTATATCACCGCTGACTCTACACGACCTATTGTTCAGCAATGATTCCCTGATACAGATACCAACAATCAAGCTACTAAAGAATATATGTATGAATGGTAAGTTACTTAATCAATCATCATATATACTTGTCAACCTAACTTACACATCTCAACTCAATTAGAACAATACTTCAAGAGATTCATCAAGATTGGAGGATTGATAGCTGTGATCAACTGTCTCAATTCCAACAACGAAGTGTTACAACTCAACTCAATTGAGTTGTTGTCCAAACTCATTCACAAAGGTATGTTAGTAGATTGAACAATCCACTCAACCAATCAATCAATGATTCTGAAAACTAACTAATCACTCATATGAATAGGTGTTGGAAACGAGTCGATGCTTGTTGATGGTATTCCATCCAAGTTACAAAAGATAACCAATCATGGTATGGAATTTGAATTGATTGATTATGAGTTGATAAGTATACTAACCAATAATGTGATCAAACAGAGAATGCAATCAAGTCATCAACTATTATTGCCGCTCCACTTAGGGACTTGTTGACTGCTGTTAGACAAATGTTACCAAAGGAATCAACGCCTGCTCCTACTTCATCATCATCATCATCAATGACAACATCAAGTGGTGGATCACAATTATCATCTTCCTCATCAGACCTCCCAAGATCATCATCAGAGACCAACTTCCAAAACAGTCCACGTACCAACAATAATAGGATGACACCAAACAGTGTACATAGATGCCAAACCAGCTCGCCTACAAGTAGTCGTAGCACATCATCCTCATCATCATCATCATCATCCTCATCATATCCATCACCATCCTCTGCGACTGCACTATCATCCAACAACGTTGTACGACTCGACATGAAGCAGTTGGACACTGTGTTGTCCAAGTTTGAAATGGATCAAATGCGCATGCTGGTACTGGACATGGCCAGACTCAATCCAGACATCCTGGAACTGGTGCCACAATCGATCAAACGAGTCTTTAACATCAAGCTCACATACTCGCCGCCCACCGCACCCCTGCCAATGCCAGCCCACATTGCAAACAGGCCACTGTCACCACTTCGTCCATCCGCGCCAACCACCGCCTACAATGCCGTGTCACCATCACAACTCAAACGCCACAGCCGCGCGCCATCGTCTGGCTCGCGCTCCAGTGATCGTCCCGAGCACCACACGCTACTCATCGATGAGATCAAGGACAAGGTGGCGCGAGGCCAGATGCACCTGCGCCATGTTGACACGCTCAAAGAGATGGAAGCTCGTCGTGTCGACTTGATGATGGAGCGACAGTCCAGCATGTTAAAGGACATCGTTCACAATGCCGCACGTCGACAAGAGGAATGCAAGGACAAGCGAGTACTAGTGGACTCTGGCACGATGACTGGCATGCGCATTTGGAAGAAGGATTTCGACGTATGGAAGCAAGAGTTACGCGCACTATTCGACCATAATGCCAACCTGACCATGTTGGTATATCGCATCATGGACTCGCTGGACGACCTTCCATTCCGAGAGGCAATGGACATCATGCGACACGCCACCTCTGCCGACACCCTCGCCAGCATGCTCATTCGAATTGGATTCAACGTCAAACAATCCACATTCATCGATCTCAGCACCGAATGTCCAACCACCGAATATCGCAGTATCGCCAAACCAACAGGCATGCCCTATCGTCTCCTCCTCTCTACCATCCTCGAGTACATGCACAAGTAGTTTGAGTGATTGAATGATTGATTGATTGAGTACTTGATCGATCTCAATAAATATTTATATATATATATGTATATATATTTGTACAGATAAGATACAACACAACAGATATCAAAGAGATAGATATGTGCCAAACGGATGAATGAATGAATGAAAGGATGGCATTGAGCGTAAGCAACCCATTGTTAGTTTCATTGAACACACAAGTGAGGAAATTTGAAGAATGATGGGGTGAATCACACCAAAACACATGAGTTTGTGATGTTTTTATTTCATTTTGTTGGTTGATGGGCTCATCGCAACCATCCCATTCAACGATGACAAACAAAACACACATCTTACTAACTTTTGGCCCTTGACTGTCAGCAACCCTTTCTCAAACATCCTCGCTCACTCACTTTGCCAACTCATTCACTACACTTACCTCCTTCATAATATACATTAATACTATACTTTACATTTACTTATTTGATTGATAACTATATATATACATATATTATTTTTAGATTTAGATTTAGATTTAGAATATAACTTTGCTTAATATTTGTTTGATTGAAAGGGGCGATGATCTGTCAGTAGATACTTAACAACAAGAAGAACAGAAAGAACATCAATGAAACAGAGAATGATCACAATGTCACAATCATATGGTCGACAATTATACTTGATATACTTGTTGTTATCATGTGTTGTACTGTGCTCCTTCGATACATGTATGTCAATTCAATCAATCAATCAATCACTCGCGAGTGTGTGAGTGAATGAGTGAACAATCATGTGACTAACCACAAATCAATCAATCAATCAATAGCGTTACTTGTTCAATGCGATTCATTAAAGGGTCAACAGCAGCAACAACAACAGAACAACAACATAGAGAACAATAATAACAATATAATCAATGCGATAAATACACAGCAACAACAACAGACTCAACAGATACAGCAGACTCAGCAGCATAGAAAATATTACTATCACTTTAGATTCAATGAGACGTCAAAGTCGCCATGGCCACAAATGACTGGCTTTATGCGGCCGACCTCATCCACTCCCTCTGCTCCAGTCGATGGTCCAGTGGGCAGTAACAGCGTCAACGACAACAACAATGGTGATAGTACTAACAGCGGAAATAACAACAATCAACAACAGAGTACACCACAACAACAACAACAACAGAGTACTCAACAACAACAACATCATTCAAAGGGTTCACAGCATCAATACACTGGCCCATCATCTAAACCGCTGGTATTGTTTCAGAATCATATAGAGTTGTTGCAGGTCAATGCAAAGTCTACTCATCAGCAGTTGCAGCAGCACTCGCATCAACAGCAGCATCAGATCAAGCCACCCAGTCTCTTTCGAAAGTCAACCTACATCAGGAACAAGGTGGAAGTTGATGTAGAAGCGGACCTCAACGGCGACCTCGAAGATCGCAAACTGATCATCTCCAATCCAGAAATAGTATTCAAGAGAGGGTAAGCGATCATTCATTCATCTTTCATTCATACATTGATTCATTCATCATCTGACACATCCTCCCATCCACTGCAGTCGCCTGTGCATAGTTCAGAACGAGACATTGGAGATCACAAACACAGACCCTGATCGTTCGATTCAGATAGTGGGAATCAGAACAGATAGTCCTCACTTTGCTTGTGACTTACTTCAACCATATGTATGTGTCGAGCGAGCGAGCGAGAGTGTGACGTGCTGCGAACGTGATGGATACTAACCACCAACAACGACGACGACGACGATAACAATAACAGGTTCTGAAGCCTAGGGAGACAAAGAGTGTACAGATATTGTTTGTGCCCAAGGAGGTTGGCGAACATGAGGCAGTGTTTCATTTGTTGATCTATGGCGGTGGACTTATATTCGTTGCGCGAGGACAGGCCACAGCCAACTTTTATCAGCTCAATCACATATATGATCAGGTCCCCTTCAACACAACGTACTCGCATCCAATCTATCTCTACAATCCCCATAATGTCACCCTCAAGATATCGGACATCCACACGAGCGGTGGATCATTCTACATCTCACTGGCCCAGCCACAAAGCCAGCAACTTGTCCCCATTCAGCAGCCACAGCATCCTCTCGCCAAGAAACAGAGAACAGCCAAGCGTGTTGAGCCAACAGGCAATTGGGTATGTTTAATTGATTGATTGATTGATTGATCGATTGATCGTCCATCTGACTGACCAGTCATCCCTAACCCCATCACTCAATCAATCAATGAATGAATGCAGGAGATCGAGCCATACACGACGTCCAACATCATCAACTTATACTTCAAGTCATCGTACTCTGGTCCCTACGCTGGCCTTGTAAATATCGAAACGAATGTGGAGAACTTTCAGATACAGGTCGACATCCTGTCGGTCGGCGAAGGTGTCCACATTTCCCCAAGCGAGATTGACTTTGGCTATCTGACCAGCAAGACTGACTACAAGTCCGTGTCGCTCTACTTCCTCAATGCCAACGAGCAGATGTTGAACATCATGGAGATCCATCCCGATGTGCCCGATCCCAACCTTCGCTTTTTTCTTCACTATGATGTGATCCCAGCCGACAAATCAGTAAGTCCATCGCAAGCAGCTGGCAAGACAGCTGGACGATCACGCCGCCCACACACTGACACTGACACGCTTGATCAATCAAACAATCAATTAGAAAATCGATATAGCTCAGTTCTTCTATACGAGCGATGTGGAGGGTAGCTTCAGCGGAAAGATTATAATCAAGGTATTTGGATACAAGGATATCGAGGTGCCATATCGCGCCAATGTGCTGTACGGCGACTTGAGCTACCATCCCCGCAACATCCTGTTTCCAATCGACACTTCGCTCAAGAAGCAACCCGAGGTCATCGAGAACCAGCTGGTGCTCAAGAACAACTTCCCGGTGCCACTCACCATCCTCTCGGTGCAGATCAATGACGAGCACTTCAAGGTGAAGAACGCATCGCTGGGCAAGACGGTGATGCCGCACGCACAGTGGGACGCCATCAACATCCAGTTCACTCCCAATGGCAAGGTGAAGGGCAAGCATGCGTCCCTCCTGGTCGACACCAACATATCCACATTCGAGATTGATCTGCAGGCTTTTGACGGTCACCTCGTCTACACGCCCAGTCCCCTGGTCGTCATGGATTCTCATGACTTCTTCATCGAGGATGTTAAGCCTGTAAGTACAATACCCAACAGCTGGCTGGCATGCATGCCCACTCACTCATTCGATCAAACATTTAGATTGACTTTGGTATTATGGGATTGGCAGAGAGACGAAGCAGACCATTCCAGTTGAAGAATCCAAATCCATTCCCATTGATCATGTTTTGCTTTGCGACGAATGATGGAAGTACGGACACAGTTTCACTCACGCTGGACGGCATGTATAATGAGCGCGGTCAGTTTGTCGTGGACGCCTCCGACCTCAGCCTGGAGGACCAGAATTTCTTCCACTTTTGCTGTCGCGGCAAGGACCACCCGATCCTCATTCTAGAGTCGGGCTACACGGCCACCTTTAACCTGGAGTTCCTTGGCAATGGCAGTGGCGCGGGAAAGGGTCACTTCACTGTGTCCACGCAGCTGGAGAGTCTATCCATCCCCTACAACTGGCATCTCATGGACGGCACAATGTCAATCGAGCCACAGGTCATCAACTTTGGCCAGATCCTGCTTGGACAGACTGTGACACAGACACTGATTGCCAACAACACCTACAACATCCCCGTCAACATTACCTCTGTCGACTCGAGCGACCCAAGGATCAGCTGTCTCATGCATACATACTCGCTGGCGTCAAACAAGGCGACGCACTTTGCCACACTGGTGTTTGAGCCCCATGACACCAGCCTCGACGAGGTGTTCCCGCTGTTCCAGCCACACTACGATCACAAGCAACTGCTGCAGTATGTGGCGCATGAGGAGGTCGAGGACTACCTGAGGAGCGACATGTTCTGGACGTCCAAGACCAGCTTCCAGATCTACTCGACTTTTACGATCCACACAGACACACTCACTGACTACACGGTCAAGACCACATCGACCATCGTCAAGCCCAGCCTCTACCAGCTGCCAGCCGACGTGTCCGTGTTCAATGCAGGCGCATCCACCATGACCAACAGCAACATGTTACCTGGGCTGCTCGACTCGTCAAACAGCACGATCGACTTTGGTGTCGTCACGATCAACCTGCAGGTGCTCAAGGAGTTTTTGATCTACAACCCGCTGGATGTGCCAGTGGTCGCCGAGCTGTTGCCCATCGAGACAGAGTCCAACATCTACAACTACCTCAAGGTGTGCGGCATCAACTCCACACTTTCATTCAGCGACTCGAGCCCCAACCATCAGCAGTATCACCAACAGCAGCATGGCATTGGACACGTAAGCCATAGCCACCTGCCCAACCCGTACAAGGTGGGTCGCGAGGTCATGGCGCCCATCACGATCCCGCCACGCGGCACCGCTCGCTTCGGACCCATCCGCTTCCAGCCCAACAACAACACCAACTTTGTATCGATGCTGTTGCTCAGGAACAACTACACAAACTTCCATCCCATCCGTCTGCAAGGCAAGGGTGACGGAGGTCGTCTGGTCTTTGTCGAAGAGGGCAACCCGTTCGCCGAGCTCAGCTCGGTCGCTCTCGACCTGAACAAAACACACCTGACGCCATGCATCTTCAAGGGTCGCGAGGAGGTCGACCTCAACTCGGACATCCTGGTCGACTCCAAGGGCCACAAGAGCAGCCACCACCACACGATGCACAGCAACGAGATTGGCCTCACCAAGAAGTTCACCCTAATGAACAAGGGCAACCTCCCCGTGGACATTCGAGACATCTCACTCAACGATCACAAGTGCGGTGGCTTTGGATTCACGATTCACAACTGCAAGGACGTGAAGCGTGTGATCAAGCCGGGCGAGTCGGTCGAGATGCACATCTCATTCGAGCCCGACTTCTCCACGTCGCTGATCAAACGCGACCTCGCCTTCAGGACCAACCAAGACACGTTCCACTTCACCCTGATCGGATCGCTGCCACATGACTACCTGCCACTGTGCACGCATCTGCAGCAATCATTGTTCTATGAGTATCCGGCCAAGATTGTGTTCATTGTGAGCATGATTGTGCTCTTCATGGTCCTCATCTACCTCACGTTCAGGGAGTACTCCAAGCCGGCACTCTATGGCACTGGCAAGTCCTCGTCGTCGGCAACTTCGTCGTTGCTGCGTCACCTCTTACCTGGTGGCGGTAGTGGCAATGGCAACAATCAAGATGTGCACCTCAACAACACGCCCAAGTCTCCAGACAAGTCAAACGTGGAGTATAGTAGCTCCAGTCGTGGAGGAGGCAACAAGAAAAAGAAGAGCCACAGCACATCTGGCAGTCATCACAAACAATCGACTTCGACAATGGGCGATGCCATCCCCCATCTATCACATTCAAACAAAGCGTCAAACAGTCTTGTGGCAGACAGCAGCAATGGCAATGGCAACGGCAACAACGGTGGCAAGCTTTATGCTGAGGCTGCCACTGTCGACTCCTCGTCCAAGGGCGCTGCCAAGTCACACCACAACTCTGTGTCCAAGTCAACAACGCCATCAGAGTCGCCAATTGCAACTACAGCAACAGGTGTGTCACCTCTTATCGCCCCTAGAGAGTTGGATGCAGCTGACGACTTGGACGTTCACAACAACACTGCTGTCTCAAGCACGATCAACACACCCACATCGCAGCAAATGACACCCCTTATCCAGTCCATCATGAACTTGCAGCCCATCTCACAGGACGAGGACGACTCGGTCACACAAGAAGAGATTGAGGGAAGCTCCATTGGATCATCGCTGTCATCGTCGCAAGAGTTGTTGATGCCTCACACTTCTAATGGCGGTGACTCTGAGCAAGGATCGCCCAGATCATCTGGCAATGAGTCGCAACAGCCACCGTTACTTCAGCAAGATGAGCAAATGAAGACTGAAACAACCGTGTCAACGCCACTGGCAATCTCGCTCGACTCTTTGTCCACAAAGAAAAAGAATCAGACGTCTTCGTCCAGCGCGCCACTACACAAGTCCCATGACCCATTGCCAAGTATCGGCGAGAATGACGACTCGTCATCGTCAAAGGCTGCCTCAAGCAAGAGCTCAAAGCATGACCAAGCCAATGATCACAAGAGAAAGGCGACAAAGGATCAGCCCACACCTCCAAACTCCTCGCCCCAACACCTTGGTAACTCTCTGGTTCCTCAAGCAAAGTTCCAACAACGCGAGCCAAAGCCAAGGAAGCAGTTTGAGCCCAAGACCAAGACGCCCAAGGTCTATGTGCCTAAGACTCCACAGCCGGCCCAACCACAACAATCCACTCCAACTACACAATCACCATCCACCTCGTCATCCCCAGCCACTGTTGTCGCAGCTACTTCCAATGCCCTACCACAACTCCAACAGCAACAGGCACCCAACAACAACAACAACAACATTTCCCGATTCCCAACTTCCTTACCCCACCGATTAGCCTATGACGCCGATCCATTTGGTCCATCTCTCACGCAGCAGATGCCGGCTCATAGCAATGTGTTTAGCCCCTTCTCGTTTGGATCACCTAGCAACAGCAGCGGCGGAGACAGCAACAACAACACATTCCACGTGGACACAATGACATCAAGCAACTGGTTGTCAAACATCCACAACTCATCTTCGACCGAACACCATCGAGCACCAATCAAGGACCATGGCGTAATTGGCAGCGGCAAGCTCTCCGCCAAACCCATGCCATCGTTCTTCAGCATCGACAGCCCATCGTCATCGATGCTCAATAGTAGTAGCGGCAGTGTCTCTGGCTCCGGCGATCATCTCGGCTCCGACACGGACAACCCATTCCTGAGGATGTTCCCATCGAATCTTGACTCGTCAACACAACACAACCGATATCTGGACCTGCAGTCATCGCCCAACATGTTCTCGTTTAGCTCCACTACCTCGAACGACCCATTGTACCAGCCTACATACGACTTGTTTAGCAATTCAAACCGACAGTTCTATTCTTTCAATCAACAACAACAACAGCAACAGCAACAACAACAACAACAACAACAGCGTTCTCCAACGTCGCACCCCATCAGCGACCCATTCTCCAAGTATCAATAGGCCAAAGGAAGACTAAAGTCTACTACTTTATCAAACAGAATGATTAGAATAAATGAATGAATGAAAGATACATTCCATCCAACCTTGTACCATTGTCTATCGTCTTCTAATGTTCTTTGGCTGCAGATGGCCATCATCTATTTATTGTGTAATCTGTTTGTCTTGATGGTTATGTTAGCTCGGCGCTCCAGTGGACCTCCTCACCTGCTTAGTTTATATCAACAGAGACGTAGACCAAGGCATTGCCCTCACGCGCCTCATTCATTGGCTTGAGACTCTCCCAGACGTTGGTGTCGATGTTGTATTTACACGCGTCGCTCAACACCTCGGAGAAGTAGCCGCCAATCACATAGAGTGAGTTGTCTCCATCGTAGACGACAGAGTTGCGGACGTCCACGGGCTTGAACATGTTGGCCAGAGGCACCCAGTCGCCTTTCTCCACATCGTATCGCTCAAGGCTGTTGGAGATGTTGTGCGATGACACTGACCCGCCCATCACATAGATTGAGCCCTTGCCGTCATACACTGCGCCAGGGCCATCGCGAGGCTTCTTCATCTTCTTGACACTGGACCATGTGTCGGTGGCAATGTCATACTGCTCTATGATGTCCAATGCTTTGCTGTCGTAGCCTCCAATGACATAAATGGAGCCCTTGCCATCGTAGACCGCAGAGATGTCGGAGCGAGGCGTCTTCATTGGCCGCATCTGTGTATACTCCTGTGTGAACATGTCGTATCGTAGCACCTCGCTTGTGAACCATGTGGCGTCTTTGCCACCAATTATGTAGATGTATCGCTGGCCGTCGTAGGCGGTGGCGTGGCGACTGCGCTGCTTTGGCATGTGCTTGAGCACCTCCCACGAGTCACTCATGATGTTGTAGCGTTCCACGGTCTTCTCTGGCGTGATGCGGTCGTTGGTCTTGGCCTCGCCACCAAACACGTAGATGTGTTGGCGTCCGTCGTAGATTGCCGAGAAGCGACTGCGTAGCGTATTCATGTTGGCAACAAACGTCCACTTGTTCTGCTCGATCGAGTATCGCTCCACGGACTTCCTGGCCTGGCCTCCAATGGCGTATATATACTTTAATGTACATTTAAAGGGCAATGTCGATACCTTTAACACGTTGTTGCTATTAAATATATTGGCTGGATTGTTAATGATACATGCTGTTGGTGTTGTTGTTGTTGTTGTTGTTGGTGTTGTAGTTGTTGATGTTGTCGTCGTTGTCGTCGCTGATTGTTGTGGCTGGATGATATTGATGTTGGATTGACGGTTTTGTTGCTGCTGTTGGTAGTCCCACTGGATACTCTCGTTTGGCGTTACTACCACCTCGCTAACCTTCTCGAACAACTCCATATAGTGATTCTTTTGATTATTGATATCAATCAACTTGCCTCCACTTCGGCTACCTCCGTTGCCATTTCCCATTGCGCCTCCATTAGCACCTCCACTTTTCGCCGAAGTACTTCCGCCTACGCCGCCTGCCAGGCCAGAAAGGTGTTGACCGAACTGCGCCGAGCCAGGCTTGTCACCGCGCTCTCGATCAATCTCTTTGAGAAGATGACCGATCTTGTCTCGCTTGGAGTCTATCTTCTCTCTGTACTCAAAGTACTCCTTGTCAATCTGTTTGAACGCCTCGTCCAAATATTGATGCATGTCTCGGCGCAGCTTCTCCTTGGCCTCCTCAGCACTGTTCTTGCTTGCCAGTCTGTTGACAATCTCGCCCTCCACCTCAAGATAGCTCTTTAGACGGAGCAACGAGCTCCTCAACGATGTGTTCTCCTCGGCGATACGCTTCGCAAGGTCTTGGTAGAGGATAACGTTGTGGCCTTGATGTCCACTCTGCTCAGTGCACCGCGCGCAAAGAGATGTCTGGCAGTCGTCATTGAAGCAATACGATCGGTTTGGTTCTTGGTGTATGTTACATCTACCATCCTTGGGTGCATCCAACTTGAATGGTTTGCTTTGTTGTTGTTGTTGTTGCTGCTGTGGAAGGTAATTGACCATAGGTGATACAATAGTGTTGTTGTTGTTGTTGGTATATGGATATGTTTGTTGTAGAGGCTGCGGTGGTTGTTGGCCAACTGATGGCCCCATACCATAGTACTGTCTCATGATGTATTGGTTGGGTACGTACTCTCCCTGAACGACGCTCTTTTGATGACCACGCATCATTGTACCATTTGGTTGTGATGGTTGTTGTTGTTGTTGTTGTTGCTGTTGTTTGTTCATGCGCATGGTAGACATTACACCAGGATGATTGTGTGACGATCCAGGTGATGTACCATAAGGTTGTTGAATGACGCCATATGAATTGTTGTTGTTGTTGACCATGCCATTGGGATGATACATTTGTCCAATCACTTGTTGTTGTTGTTGAAGTTGTTGAAGTTGTTGCTGTTGTTGTTGTTGATCCTGCAAAGATTGAAGTTGTTGCTGCAATTGATAAGGCTGGAAGTGATTTGGTACAACTTTAATCAATCAATCAATCAATCAAGTTAGTATTAAAGTTTGTTGTGTCTGCAATGATCATTCAACATACTTGAGTTGGGTGTCAACTTGGCAGTCTGGTAAAGAGGTGATGAGACTGTTGAGCTTGGACTACCGAGGTTGGACCCATTGAGCTTGGAAACTGGATGTATCTCGGTGTTACTCTTCTTTAGTTGACTGATCTTGGCAATTGGTTTGCCAACTATTGATCCACCTGACATACTGAGTACATTATTGTTGTTGTTATTGTTGTTGTTGTTGGCTGTACTGATACTAAGTGATGATAGTATATCATCTGATACCGATGCAAAGTGACCATTAGTTGATTGATGTGGTTGTTGATGTTGTGTGAAAGAATGTGATGACGGTGAACCAGATGATCCGGCATTGTCCCAAGCATTGGCATGATGCTGGATGTTAACTGATGAGCCAACAAAACTTGGCAGGATGGGCAGTGGCGGTGACGTGTGTGGAGACTGCATGCTGTGTGGTGTTGATGCTGCAGAGTTGTTTAATGGCGCATAAAGTTGTTGAGAATACCTAAGGGCATTGTGATGTTGTTGTTGTTGGTGTTGTTGTTGATGTTGGTGATTGAGTTGGAGTTGACTGCATAATGGACATGCATTATTACCAACTCCTCCTCCTCCTATTCTTTCCAAATCCACTATACAATCGGAACAAAGTATGTGGAGACATGGAAGAGTGGCTGAAGTGGTGGCGCTGGTGGGTGAGTGGCAGGTGACACAAAGGATGGCACTGTTGTTGCTGTTGTTCGCAGTGTTGTTGGACAGCAAGGACGAGGGATTTGTCCTAGCGCTGTCCTTGTTGGTCTCCATCATTGAAGGGCGGTGTCTAGTGGTATCTGCTGTTTCTGATGTGTAATATTACTAGGATGTGATTGATTGATTGATTGATTGATTAATTGATTTGATTGATTGTTTGGATTGCAATGTAATGAGAGTCCTTGGGTATGGATATGAAGGGGAGGAACTCCGAAGGGTTGGAAGCCGATACCAGGACTCACTCAAACATACACTCAAACAAACACACTTACAATCAAAARGGRAAGGCTTCCTACTTGATTGATTTTGATGCTTGTTTTTTTGGTGTTCTGCGTGGGATGGGGTGATGTTGAAGTCGGTCAGTCAGTGGTCAATGTCCGAAGGGGCCGGAGTGGCGCAGGTGCGTGTCGTGGTCAGTCGGAAACGGGAATTGGAAGACAAATGCTTTGCACTACTCTGATGATAGTTATCGGGGTTGGTTTGGTTTGGTGGGTGAGGGTAAAACAAAGAAGCTTCAATTCCTGACGTGTGAAGTGTTGAATTGTATTGAGTGTTTGAAGTTGATGTTGATGTTGTTGATGCTGATGATGTCGATGTCAAGTTAGAATTCTGATTGAATGATCGCAACAACTACCTCTATCAAATGGGGCAGGCAATATATTTGATAAGTCATGCACACACACACAAGTCAGTGGTTTGACTTGTCAATGAACTAGTGAGTGAATGAGTGGTTGTTGAAGCTTTGAATGAAGGGGTAAAGATAGAGAGTGTGTTTGTTGGAGCTGGAGTTTGAATTGATAGTGTTGGAGTTTGACTTGTGAGTTGTGTTTGATTGGTCGACTGGTTGGATATATCTGTTTGTCTGTCTAAAGACTGACTGGCTGATGGGATAATGTAGTTGATCAATCAACTAGGTAAAGATGATACTATAATGCTGCAGTGCACTGTTTGATGGGATATGTTGGAACATGACCTTACCTTCTAATTAATGTTTGAGCATCAGACTAAACAACACCATTAATATTAATTTAAATTAAGTTATTATCCTTGACTCACTCTTCCAGGCCCGAGGCAGTGGAGCAAGTTGTTGTTGTTACTCCTTCCCCAAATGAATGCTACAAACTAATTGGCCGTCCGTCGAGTCTCCGAAGGACATGTGAATGAGTGAATGCGTTGTCACTCTACGCAAACACATCACATCCACATCCACATCGATTAAACAATCAAACATACACAGACACACATATATACACACACTACACTACAAGCAACGCACTTTAATAATAATAATATGGGCCGGCAATAGTACTTGGGATGGCGAGATCTATTCTCTCTGAAGAGTTCCATTTGTGGTGTTGGTGTGGAGATCAGTGAGTGTCGGCAAAAGGTCTGATCACCATCGGGCTTCAGTGATAAAATTAAATGTTATTAAATGTTTGGGTTTTTGGATTGATCTGATCAAAAGGTGCCTTCCCATCCTTCTTCTTTTCAGTCCTTCCAATGAGCAGAAGGCAAACAATGTGTAGAGTGTCCAACATCCATTATTCAATCCATCATTACTTACTTACTTTGTATTATTATTATTACAAACTTAATAACTTGCAATACATGATACGTTTGTGTTGTTGTTGTTGTTGATATGTCTCAACGAATACAAAGAGACAATGTGCGTGCATGGCATGGTTGATTGATGGGTGGATGGGTGACCTAATAATACAGCTTGCTTACTCAATGATGATTCAAAGATAGATTAGATTGATGGATAGATAGATACATAATAGGGAAAGGATTAAAATCCACTCTCTCAAACATAACAAAGAAGAGAAAGACAGACACATTTAAACTTAATTGACAACCAACCCATAACATATATTTAGTTTAATGTTGTTGTTGTTGTTGGTTGGTTTCAACTCACCAAACATTGAATGGTCAACAAGGTTGTGAAGGACTACTTGTCAATCAATCATTTTGAAGTTCATTAATAACCTTTCAAAAAGTTTGGGTTCAAATATTCGCGCCAAAATTGATGAATGAACGGCGGCTAACAGTAGTGGGTGGAGGAAGTTGATTGACTGAGTGCAAGACTGTGCTGTGAATGTGAACACACGTAACATTCTCAATTTGATCATATTAGTATACATACAATACAATATAATACATAATATATATATATATATATTAGTGATCACTACTCGATATAGATATACAAACATATATACATACCATAGATAGATACAAATAGACATACAGATACATAACATCAAATATATATAGTTACTGAAATATTAGAGATATAGTTCAACAAACATCATGCCTCCTACTACTCCACATTACTCTGCTAAATACTATGATAGCCAATTTGAATACAGGTATGTCGACAGAAAACAGAATAGACAGATAGACGACTAGACACAAGATTACTAACTACAACAACAACAACAACAACAAAAATACATTAGACATGTGATATTGCCAGCAGAGATATCAAATAGAATACCAAAGGGAACATTGTTGACTGAGGAGGAGTGCAGAAAGTTGGGTATCATCCAGTCGACTGGATGGTGCCACTACGCCAACCACAAGCCAGAGCCACACATCCTTTTGTTTAGACGTCCACACTCTGGTCCAATCCCCAACGACGTTGACTATTTATAAGACCATCCTCTTCCTCCTCCAAAGTGTATATGTGTTGTATGTGCATGTCACAACAACCGTACTCAATCATCATTCAATCATTCAATCAATCAAACAACCTATTCTTCTTCACAAAGTAATCCAGTATGAGATGACCCACCGCCTCACCAACTCAATCAATCATTCCAACCATTCAACAACATCATCCATCCACCCTACCTAATACTCCGCAACACCAGCAAAGACCACCTGTTCGGCCAAGATGTCTCATGTTCCCACTCCTCATCGAACCGCAGCAGATGCAGTACCATCAACCAACACTTATTCTTTGTTAGTTAAGTCATAATAAATAATAACTCAACATGTGTATCCAAAGAAAGACCTCAATTGCTTGATTGTAATATCGCCTGCTTTATTTAGAACAGCGTATCCTCATCACGAAGATACTCTCCAACATCGCAAATGTGATAGACTACCAAAGCAGTTGGTTCCAGCTTTCTGCATTCTGCCGTCGATCTCGCAGTAACTCCAAATCCAATTGGGATATCACTCATTGAGTATAACACTACACCTTGATTCCTATATGATTATGACATTAATGTTGGATGTTAGAACATATCCTCACTGTCTTTCCAATTTATGTCCATCCAAACTACTACATACTGTGGAGTGTCCTCTGTGATTCTACCCAGACCAGCCTTCAACAAGTTGTTTCCATACATCCAAGACATCTCTGATTGTGGCTTCACCCATACCTTATACTAAAGTGTATCCAAATGGTTAGTGATCTCATCCTGTAGTATGTATGTAGGATGATGATAACATACCTTTGCATACTGTGCCAGATAGTCCAAACATGTTACTTGCAGTCTGAACTTATTTGTCTTTGTAAACTTTCCAAAGCAAACACCTAGACTTGCCAGTGAATCCCTTGGTATATTCTGTGCCTTCTTCATTATCTCCTCACTGATATAATATACTTTATTCTTCTGTACTCTAAAACAATGTGGTTCATCTCTTCTCTCTACCAACAATGCTATATTCTTTCCAATACTATATGATATCATATGTTAGTATTGGTATTTCCAATTATCGTGTATCACGTGACAATATCACGTGACACATTGTTATTGATCACATGATTCGATCGAATAAATATTCGTCAATATCAAGTTATGATCGGTATGATGATTCGTACAATTTGATAATCTTCTCAAAGAACACCTTGGTCTCTTCCTCTGTTAGCTTTCTCATCTTTAAGAAATATGTGTGTATGTGTATGTATGTATATAATGTAAAGTTGAATGAAATGAAAGAATAACACACAAACATTAATATTGTTGTCGTTCGTTTTTATTGACTTTTGATCAACACAACCCATCAAAATCGTGTAACGTTATTACATTGTTCGTCAAACTAATTTTGATTTATTTAGATTAAAGTGTGTGAATGCGTGTATGACTCTGGCGAGTGAGTGGGCTGGATACTTGGGTTCGTGCATTGACACTCGTTCATACTTTCACCATTCAAAGCGTTGTATATACCTACATACCTACATCACATTTCGAATCATGTCAGAGGTTGCACTTGCCAAGAGATCCGGAATCGCCAAGGGATTCAACAAGGGTCACATCACCACCCCACGCAGACCAGCCAGCTCCTTCAAGAAGGGAGTATGTATCGATATCTAGGATTGAGGATTGAGGATTGAGGATTACTTGATTGATTGAAGATATAGATCGTTGGATTGGAATAGACAGAAGATGATAGACATCCAGGATAACGTCGACTCACACATCGAACCATCACACAATCACTCTTTATAGCTCGTCACCAAGAGAGTCGCTGCTGTCCGTGACATCATCCGTGAGGTCGCTGGTTTCGCCCCATACGAGCGCAGAATTCAAGAGTTGTTGAAGTCTGGTTTGGATAAGCGTGCCCTCAAGGTCGCCAAGAAGAAGGTTTGTTTAGCATTTTGGACAGAAGAGATGGACACATCGTTGTGTAGTCGATCGACAGACTCTCTAACTCATACAATCAACTTAATCAATCACAATATAGCTTGGATCCATTCAGGCTGGAAAGAAGAAGAGAGACGAGATGGCCACTTTCAACAGAAAGGCCCAGAAATAAACAGGCTGCGACACCCATGCCTTTTTACTCGACTCTTGTAGGACATGACCGAGATTATACAACACAAAAACAACAACAGCTACAGCAGCATTGGCATTCATTCATTCTTTCATTCTTTCAATCACTCATTCAATAAGTTGCGATCTGATCGATGTTGAAATTTACTGGTAGCGAAACAGAATACAGACAGAATTGTTAGATAGATAGATAGATATTTGGCATGATTGAAAGACTCGGAGATAATGTAGATGATTACTCCATCCATCTATTCAACAAGCAATCCAAACAAGCAACTCAACAGCATGCATGACACAATCAACAACCACCACGTTCAATCATTCACTCTCTCTCTCTTTCACACCCTCTCTCTTGTTGTTTGAATCAAGTGAGCTCACTGTTACCACTTCACTCACTCACTCGCTCACTCACTCAATCAATCACATACACACACACAAATAAGTTTGAATACCAAATGTTATACGTATATATGGACATACATATATGCATCATATACTAGTACTTGTACTTTAGAGTGTTGATGTGGATGCCACTGCTGATGCTGATGCCAGATGGATGCTTACTTGTTTGCTTGCTTAGTGATGAACTAATGAACTAATTTTACCTCTTGTTATTCGATTATGATTGTTTGGTTCTACCTCTCCTGAGCAGGCTCAGCAGCATTGATTAATGGTTAGTTTGGATTGACCATCTATGGTGATGTATGTGATGATGTATGTTTTGTGAAGCATGCGTATCCACTTCTTCCTTTCCCTTTATTATTATTATTATTATTATTATTATTATTATTATTATTATATAATTATTAAGCTTCTATCTAATATAATATACCAATCATGGGAAATAATAATAGAATAATACTATTATTACTGTTAATAACAGCTTTAATATCTTTTAACAATGTATTGGCGCAACAACAACAACAACAACAACAACCACCTCCACCTCAACAACAACAACAAGCAGTGACACCAACACAAATGGAACAGCCACAGCCACCTCCTAATATGTTTGAATTGTTAGGTAACAACATGGATGAGTACGTCAGCAAGGGTGTTTGGATGTTGCTGTTCTATGCACCATGGTGTCCACACACTCAAAAGTTCCTTCCAGTCTACAATGAGTTGGCTGTCATCCTCAAGGATCATGTCCAATTTGCCAAACTCGACTGTATTCTCGATCCATCACATCTTAAACGTTTCGGTGTTGTCTCATATCCAACTATCAAACTGTAAGTTATATCCTTATCTTATTTTGATGAAAAGTTCATGTTCTAATGTTTATCAAACCTATGAAGGTTGTTCGATGGTAACTTGTATGAGTTCTATGGTGATAGGACTGTTGACTCTATGCTTAAATTCTTAGAGAAGGGATTCCTTAGTATCCAAGCTCAACCATACCCATTCAACCCAAAGCCAGTTGACACTCCACCACAGCAGCAACAGCAACAACAGCAGCAGCAACAACAACAACAGCAGCAGCAGCAACAACAACAACAACAACAACAGCAACAACAGCAGCAACAACAAAGAAGAACACCACCAACTGAGAAACAACAGCCTCCACAAAGACCACCTCCACCTCAACCACAACAACAGCAACAGCAACAACAAGTACACGATCAAAGGGTTGAGGAGAGAAGTTGGATGGGAAGCATAATGGTATGTTAGCTATGATTAATCAATGATTATACCTTATAAATATTAACATGTACTTCTTCTTTAGGATTCCAAACTGGCATACTTTGTCATGGGTGGAGCATTCACAATGGGCGCAAAGACTGCCAGGAAGAGATACTACAGAAAGAAGTTTACAAAGATAGCCTAAAAAGACAAATACAACAACAACAATGGTATATACAGTACTGGACATGGAGGAGATGGAACTCTGGAAGACTCCACTGGCCTTCCATCCATCCAAACCCATCAATCAATCAATCAATCAATTCGCACGATCAACTCATCTTGTATTATCCAACTTTAATCCAATCCAATCCAATCCAAAGAATATACAATCTACACCATCATTTGAGATCTAAAGTACTACTACTATTATTATTATTATTATTACACTGATCAGCAGCTGCTACAGAGGGCCTTGGCAATGTGTGCTGGGGAAGCTCGCGATCTGAATTATATGATAAGTTAATTGGTTGGGGACATGACTAATGTCCTTTCCTGCTTTTCTCCTTGCCTTTCTTGGCGGCGGTTGCTGTTGCTGATTGAGCGCTCATTTGACTCGCCAGCCATGCCAGACCATCCTCCACACCCTGTCCAGTGATAGCGCATGATGCCATTACATTCCACTTTCTGTTTTCCAACTGTTGCAGTCCCATCGTTGTTGCAATCTCCTCTGTTGTCATCGCACCTGGCAAATCACACTTATTGGCATACACTAATAATATTGGTTCTATATTGTTTGATTGATTGATTGATTGACCGAGTGAGTTAGTGATTGAGTGATTGAGGTGCCAATCAAACATCAGATGACCATCTATGAACATACCTCTCATTTCAGGATCATTCAGTACTCTATATAATTGTTGCTTTGACTCTTCCATACGTTCTCTATCACTACTATCCACGACATAGATCAATACCTGTGTTCCAACATAGTAATGTCTCCATAGGTTACGTATCTTATCCTGTCCACCGACATCCTGTTATGCGTATCAGTTGAGTGACTGTTTGTAAGTGATTGATTGATTGATTGAGTGATCACATGTATCATGTGACATACCCAAACAGTGAAGACTAGATTCTGAAAGTATATTGTTTCGACTGTGAATCCAACTGTAGGTATGCTTGGTACAGTCTCTTTAAGCTTCAACCAATAGAGCAATGATGTTTTGCCAGCTGCATCTAGACCCAACATCAGAACTCTGATGTCCTTGCTCTTCTTGAACAATCTTGACATTGACTTGCCCATGTTTATGTTGTTTTGTTATTATTATTATTATTATTATGTAATAATAAAGAAAGAGAGAGAGATAGAGTAAGTGTAAGAGTTAGAGTAAGAACGGTAAAGATTTATGTTGTCACTTGTGGTGAGTGTGATGGTGATTGGGAGAGCGACAAAGAGGACCACAATGATCAAAATGTGTGGAAAAGTTTGGTCCTCAGTCAAACATCAAAAACTAATTCTTTGAACAAAGATTTAGGAATACTTTGTTGGTTGACCATGGTACTTTATCTGTTTATATGTTGGTTTGTGTTTCACCATTGTTCAGGGTAATGTTTTAATGATCATAGACCAGCTAACATTTTGGAAATACTTCATACTTGGAAAAATTTGATCATAGTTGAAAATACACTGGATATGATTATTCCAAGTTGATCAAACTGACCAAGTTGATTTATTTTAGATCTAGAACTTGATGCGATAGGTACCGGCATGCTTGAGATGTTCGATCTCTTCAGCAAGTGGGTCCATAATTGTAGGAAGATGTTTGGCGATTGATGGTCTCTGGTTCATACGATCCAACCATCTCATAACATTTGGATACTTCTCATGATGTGGAAGGAATCCTTCGCGAATGTATATCGCCCATGCATACACTGCCATGTCTGCGATGGAGAACTGACCACCAGCAATCCACTCCTTATCATTCAATTGTTGATCCAACACTGTGTACAATCTATCAGTCTCCTTGTAGTACCTGTCCTCAGCGGCTGGCACTGCCTCTGGAGCAAAGCATGAGAAGTAGGTGTATTGGCCATTCATTGGACCCAGGCCCGAGATCTGCCATGCCAACCATTGGAGAACGTCAGCATGCTCACGAGGGTTGGTCTTGATATCTGGAAGGAACTTGCCATGCTTGGCAGCAAGGTAGAGTAGGATGGCACCCGATTCGAATATTGGTAGTGGTGGACTGACTGTATAGTCAATGATGGCTGGTACCTTTCCATTTGGGAAGGTCTTCTTGAATTCAATCTTCTTTGGATTCTCGTCATTGAATATCTCAATCTCCTCGTACTTGTAATCAATTCCAAGTTCATCAAACATTATCTTTATCTTCCATGGATTGGTAGTACCGCATCCATAAAACAGGTATGGCTTTCCTTCATTGATGAGGTCTGAGTTTGAGTTGTTTTGAGACATTATTTGTTTGATTGATTGATTGATTGATAATATTTAATTAATTATTTGATTGATAGTTGTATTATTATTTGATGTTATATTATGTCATTTGACAATGGATTATATAGGATATCAATCGAACATATTTTTGATCGATTGATGGACAGATGCCCGAAATTTGACGTTCCCTGTTCCATCAGAATTGTCATTTTTCATATAACCTGATCAAAAAAAATCGAAGACCATTCTATCGAAGTGAAGTCCATCAATCACATTTCCCGACTCTAACATTGTGTCCTTGCCTACCCCTCGCCCCACCTTGATAAATATCATTATTATTATTATTATTATTAATTATTTATTATTTATTTAATTTAAATATTTAGAGCTTCTTGATGACAACTGCTGAAGCACCACCACCTCCATTGCAAATGGCGGCAACACCGATTGAACCACCCTTTCTGTGGAGGATGTTGGTAAGAGTAGTGATGATACGAGCGCCAGATGAACCGATTGGGTGACCCATGGCAACTGCACCTCCGAGAACGTTGAGCTTGGCTGGGTTGATGCTCAGCAGCTTGGCGTTGGCCAATGGCACACAGGCGAAAGCCTCGTTGATCTCAAAGAAGTCGACGTCCTCCATGGTGAGACCTGCAGTCTTGAGGGCCTTGGGGATGGCCAGGGCGGGGGCGGTTGGGAACTCGATTGGTGCCTGCTCGGCATCAGCGAAACCAATGATCTGAGCCAATGGCTTGATTCCGAGCTCCTTTGCGCGCGAGGCGGCCATCAGGATGATGGTGGCGGCACCGTCGTTCAACTTTGATGAGTTGGCGGCAGTGAGCACACCCTCCTTGGTGAAGGCGGGCTTGAGGGTTGGGATCTTGTCGTACTTGACCTTCTTTGGCTCCTCGTCCTCCTTGACGATGAGATCAGCGCCACCCTTCTGTGGGATGACAACCTCGACGATCTCGTCGGCAAACTCGCCGTTCTTGGCCGAGGCGATAGCCTTGTTGTAGGATTGGACGCAGAACTCGTCGTTGTCCTTTCTGGTGATGTTGAGCTTCTTTGAGCAGTCGTCTCCGCAGACACCCATGGCAGAGTTGTCGTAGGCGTCGGACAGACCGTCCTTGACGAGACCGTCGACCATGGTGGTGTTGCCGTACTTGGCACCGTAACGCATCTTGTCGACGTAGTATGGTACGTTGGACATGGACTCGAAGCCTCCGGCGACGACCACCTTGGACTGACCGAGCAGAATGGACTGGGCACCGAGCATGACAGCCTTCATACCCGATGAGCAGACTTTGTTGATGGTGGTACAGATGACGCTGTGTGGCAGACCAGCACCGATGGCGCACTGGCGAGCTGGGGCCTGACCCAAGTTGGATGAGATGACGTTACCAATGATGACCTCGTCGACGTCAGTTGGCTTCAAGTTAGCACGCTTCAAGGCGTCCTGAATGGTGATTGACTGAAGCTTTGGGCCTGGGATTGATGACAAAGCACCTCCGATCGAACCGATAGCGGTACGATTGGCAGCGACAATGACAACATCATCTCCCTTCAATGCTGTTGAGTGGAAGTATCTAATAGACTATATATATGATCAACATGTGTGTTAGCAAGCAAAGTGAATGAATGAGTGATGAAGTGTACATCATCATCACTTCTTCAAACGTACGTTTGAAAGCTTTGAGTAGTTCACAATTGATCTTGACAACATTGTTTGATTAATTTGATTGTTGATATAAGTATGTTGTTATAAATATATATATATATTAAACAAGTTATCTCTTTCTATTATCTGGCAAGCCAAGTGAGTGTAGAATGACGTTGAAGTTGGAGAAGTATGTGTGTGAGTGCGTCTTGCAGTTGTGAATCCAAATTGGAAATTTCGGCTTTAGGGTGATCGATTATGAGTGAGCAAAGCCTCGTCTTCATCACGCACGACACTGGTGGTCCCAACAATCGGGTTCCCAAAGTACTAAATAAATAAAATATCTCAATTTAAGGTTGATACTTATTATCACTTCTGATGATTGGATGACGACAATGATGATTGATATTGTGTCGAAGGTTTATTAATTGTTTGATAAGTTGTTGAGAGATATATAGAGTAGGGGAATGATTGATTGATTGATTGATTGATTGAATGATTGATGTGACACAAGGTCAATCATCAATGTACTAAATGTATAGGTTACTATGTATGATTGATTGGATGTATGTATGTATGGTTTGATCTAAACTTTCTTCAACTTTAGAGCAATGATGGGACTGAGGGATGGCTTGACAAAGAAGTGCAAATGGACTCAATAGTTGAATCGATTGTGAAATTGACTGAGACTTTGGGAGATGGATGGAATCCATGGTGATTGATTGGGAATGGATGGATGGATGGATGGATGTGGTGGGATAGCTCCGAGCTAGAGTCCTAGTGCGTGTGCGACTGACCTGACTGATGATGATGATGATGGAAAAAAAAAGGGAGGAGGTAGTGGACCAGCCAGCTTGCTTATTACTGATACATTGGAGGACACTTATGCAGTTGTTTCATCCATTAATACTTCTTTGGCTGCCAACAGTTGTTGGTATTGTTGCAGTTGTTGTTGTTGTTGTTGTTGTTGAGGTGCATGTTGATGATGTTGATGGTGATGATGATGTTTCTGTTGTTGTAGTTGTTGTTGTTGGAGTTGTAGCTGGAGATGTTGTTGTTGATGCTGTTGATATTGTTGATGATGTTGTTGTTCCAATTGGAGAAGTTGTTGTTGTTGTTGCTCGGGTGACAGCTGTTGTTGTTGTTGCTGCTGTTGAAGCAGCAGTTGCTGTTGCTCCAGATGTCGTCTCTCGTGCACCGAACGATTGGATAGGGTGACGAGCACGTCGCAGCCATCGAACCGACACTTGACACGTGTCTCCTTGATACGTCGCTTGCCATCGGGTGTGCGCTCGACTCGCAGCGAGCGATCGCACGGTAGACACACCAGACCCTCCTCGTGACATCGGTGAGGCGTCATCTCGTGTCGACATCGAGACTGCTTGACGTTGTAGAGGAAGCGGTCGGTCTCGCCCAGGAACTTGTGGATCTCGTGGCGACAAGGTAGCTTGTCCTCGTCGGCCTTCACCTGCTTGGCTTTGGGTCCTCGTCTCTTTTGCTTCCAGATCAGTGTGAGTGTTGGCGTGGTCGGGGCCGAGTTGGAGTTGGAGTTTGAGTTGGCATTGGAGTTTGAGTTGGAGTTGGAGAACGATGATGAGTTTGATGAAGTGATGAACGCGCTGTTGGTGGGGCTACTAGTGCCGCTCACCACGCCGCCACTACCATTGACGCTCTGTCCCACAATGATGGGAGTGCTCGTGCTGCTCCCCCCATTGCTATTGTTGCCGCTGCCACTACCATTGCCACTGCCATTGACACTGACATTGGGGTTGAGTATGCCTCCACTGCTATTGATACTATTCTTCTTCTTATGTACATAGTTCTGAGAGATGAATGTGGAGAAGTCGACTCCATCACATGATGCCGCCAGGGGGTTGTCGCGAATACGATGATGCTGATATCGACTGTCGATGTGATTGAGCACATTGTGCGAGAATGATGAGCACGACGGCGAGGCGGTCGACGACGATGAGTTGTACGAGGTGGACGAGAATGATGTCGACGAGAATGTTGACGACGATACTGATGACGACGCCGACGAGTTGTTTGAGTATGACGACGACAGTGACAGCTCGTTGAATGATACGATGGCCACTTCATCGCTGGTGGCCGAGCCCACTGAGAATCTAAAGTCGACCAATGCCTTCACGGCATCAAACTCATCGACCTGCATCGACTGCTCGGCTCCCTTCTCCAACTGTTGTTGTTGCATTAGCTGTTGATGTATCGTCGGTAACATAATACTTGGTGCATCAATAACATCATCATCATCATCATCATCGTCATCCTCATGACGTATGTACACGCTTCGCATTGCTGACATCGTCCTTCCTTCTTTCCTTAATATATATATATATAACTATATAACTATTAATATGTATATATGTATGTATTATTGCACTATTATAACAAGCAATTGAACATCACTTTGGGATGATTGATTGATTGATTGATTGAGTGAGTAAGTGAGTGAGTTGGGCTGAGTTGATTGTGCGCGAGGTGTGTGTGTGTGAATGAGGTGAATGAATGAATAATGAGTGAATGTTAATGAATGAATGATTGAAGTAAGTAAGCTGCAGACAGTAGCAAAGGGCTAAAGTTGCAAAGAGAATAGTGAACAACGTATTATGTGTGTGTGTGTGTGTGTGTGTTTGTTGATGTACGTGCAAAGAGTGGAATGATTGTGAGTGTGATCAAACCCCACACACGCTTAGACACACGACAAGAAAGAGAACACCTACATGGTAAACATTGTGAGGGAGCCCATGCCAACAAACAAAAGGTCAACAATTGTTTGCATTTTGGCTTGAAAAAAATCAGAAACCAAATGATCATGGGGACCAGGCCTAACCAACTGGTCTACTGATGTATCACACCATCAATCACTTGTTGCCACCAACGCACGCACGCACGCATTGATTAAATGAACTATCCTTTGCAGGTATCCGGAAGTCATCACTCAATCAAGTCGTCTTTGAGCTATCCCCCTACTGGTCGATCTACTTTTCCCATGGCCACTCTTTATCTGATTGGGTATCAACATATTGATTCCTCTTCCGATTCCTATTACTACTTAAATAACTAAGTGTAAAGTATTACAGATAAAAGAGTGAATGATCATTCATCGGACTTAGGATTATCTTATTCATCAACCTCCTCTCCTTTCTTTCGTTCGTTCGTTCCTACATTCATTCATATCATTGGGTTTGTTGGACTTGGTATTGGTATCCATACCGGATATTAGTAATTCATTGGTTGTTCAGTCGTCAGTCATTCATTAACTGTTGTTATATTAATGTTATGTCTTTGGTTGAAACACACACAGTGAGTCTACTCAACATGCATAAAGGTTGATTGTCAACAAGTTGTTTTCAAAGTGAAACACTTGGTTTTGAGTGAGGGCAAGGGCTAGATTGAAGGTGACGCGTCAACAAACAATCATGTCAAGTTCCAACATTAGATTACTATTTGGAAGTACATTGAGATATTTAATACTATACTATTATTTAATGAGATATAAAGAAAGATGAAAGGAGTTTATAGACAACTAGCTATAATATTGATAATATCCTTTGTACTCCTTTGTACTTCTATTATATATGCCACAGATGCAGCTGTTGATAATAACAAACCAAGTGAAGAACAACAAAGACAACAACATCTACAACAACAACAACATATACATGATGTACATATACATCCAGAACAACATCATCAACATGATGTACATGTAAAAGAGACTCAACCAGTTGATCCACAACATATTGAACATCATCAACAACAACAACAACATCCTGTCAATGAGGATACTGAAGAACAACATGTAGATGTAGATCAAGTACAAGAACAACAAGAGGAGGTAGAAGAGGAGAAGAAGAAACAACAAAAGACTGCATCATCGATTCCAAGTATAAAGTCATCGATAAAGTTCGAAGTGATTGTTGGTGAGAGTGCAGCGTTGGACAGATACAAGACGTGGGCAGAGAATGGCGTTGTCAATGTAATGCCAATGACTCTGGCGAATGGCACAAAGTTCACCTGTTATATCCCAGTGCCCAGGGACGAGGAGGAGGATGACACCTGGTTGGAGATCCCCACAAGCGAGGACTTTGAAGAGGCCCTGGCGCCAATGGAGTTGGCCGCATGCCTGCTGAAACCAGGCGGTTGGTGGCAATACGAGTACTGTCACAACAAGCACATCCGTCAGTTCCACATGGGCAAGGCCGAAAAGGTCGAAGCCGAGTTCAGTCTGGGCGTGGTGAGCAAGGTGACGCGACTGGGACACGTCCGCGGCATCGACCCAGCATTCATCGAGAGCTACAACAACAAGGAGGAGACGTCGTTGCCAGACAACACGCCGCCACCCTACTACGCCAAGACCTATCAGCATGGCACGCCGTGTGATCTGGTGCCTGGACAGCGACAGACCGAAGTCAGGTTCTACTGCCACGACGAGCAGTCCAAGCAACCATTCAGCTTCATACAAGAGATCATCGAGCCATCCTCCTGTCATTATATCATCCGCATTCAAACCAGTCGAATGTGTATCCATCCACTTTTCAAGCCAAAGAAGGATTTGATCTATGACATTGCATGCTTCAGACAACTCTGATCAATAAAATAAACAAATTATATATTAATTGTATCCGCCAGACATATTAGATGATCTGGCATCAACTACCAAGTTGCCCCCATTCATTCTTCGGTCGTTTCCGATCAATTTCCTGAAGGAAACACCCTGGCGCATGACCAAACCCACTTAACATTCACTTCGAGCTCATTCATTCTTTAGTCAATCTCAATGAATAATAACAATAATAACAAATACTATATATTTCAATCATTAATCAATAATGTATATTTAAGAAGAAGGATATTCTCAGCTGTGACTGTGATACATCGAAGAAAGAATGCGTATAATGTGAAGAGGTGGAAACAGCTTGGTCTACGTGATCTACTATGTTATGGCTATCTAGATGAGTTCAAACAAAGATATACTCAACAAGGCCAGAAATTCACAGAGGATGAGTTGGAGGATGGTATACCAATTGCACCAGCGATGCGTGGACATCTACATTGTTTGAAGTACCTGCTGGAGAATCACGCCTCTCTGTTCACTGGCGAGGAGTTGGAGGGCACTTGCTTCAGTGGCAACCTTCAAACAGTCAAGTATCTGATGGATAACGCACCTGGTCAGAGCACTGCCCTCTCACTCACCGTTGCCGCGACGGCAGGAGCACTGGACGTTGTCAAGTATCTTCACAACAATGTGACCAACCTCAATACTCGTGGTGCGTTGGATGCAGCCGCTCATCGTGGTCATCTAAATGTCGTGAAGTACCTTCATGACAATAACATTGCCGATGGCGCTACACACGTCGCAATGGATCAAGCAGCCTCTGGAGGGTTCCTAGAGATCGTCGAATTCTTGCACATGAATCGCAGCGAAGGCGCAACCACCGCGGCATTGGATGGAGCTGCCTCGGGAGGACATCTGGCCGTCATAGACTTCTTGTTGACACATCGCCAGGAAGGCGGATCGCGTGCACTCGAGATGGCCGTTAGACAATGTACACCAACTCGTGAAGACTATGCACATCGCCGAGCTGTCCTGGATCGATTGCTAGCTGGTGGCTTTGCCTCTCCCGCGAACATCGCGCTGATCGACATCGCAGCCACCAGTAACGACGCCGAACTCGTTCGATTGCTTCATGAGCGTGGTGAACGAGCTACTCGTGAGGCACTCAACAAAGCATGTCGTTGGAGAAACATGGAGATGATCAGATTCCTCGTGGAAAACAGGTCGGAAGGATGTAGTATTCAAACATTGAATGAGTCGGCCAAGGTTGGAGACGTGGAGTTGATTCAATACCTTCATAGTAGACTGCCCAGTGACATTAGATTCTTCATTACACCCAACTCTGACCTGCAGGATCAAAGTCTTTATTTGGCTGCCACACGCAATCACATGCCAGTCGTCGAGTTCCTCTGGACATATCGTCGTCATGAATGTTCCGCTCAACTATCCAAGACACTGGAATATTGCCAAACAAAGAATAATCCAATCTATCTCTATTTAACTAATCAACAATATCAACAACAACAACAACAATAACAAGGAAGGTTCATGGAACATCAATAAAATGAATTGACTTTAGTAACGAACAAGACTATTATTCATATCTTGTTGTCGATTGTGTTGGTCAAGTGATTGAGTGTGCATGGCAGGATGAGGAGAAGTAGGAGGATGATGAGCTTGTTGTTGGATCGATGATGGTGGTCTATTGGTTGAGGACAGTACTTTGTTTGGAACCCAAACAATCAGCCAGAGTACCACAAGTGAGAATATCATCGTTCGATATGACATGTTCATTACCAATGAGTCCAACACTTCGGAGACCAACTCTGCGAACAACTTGGACTTTGGCAACGAGGATGGATCCTTGTTCATACATCTATTGATGGTTGGTTGGTGTCAATCCTGAATCAAACTTCCTGTAGAGGTTAAGGTAATGATGTACTTACATCTCCCATTGTGCACACATGTCTACCATGGCTGGAAGTCGTGTCTCTGGCAAACACTTATTATCAAAGTAGTTCTTGGAGCATGCCTCTATCTCCTTCTGGAGTTCTGTGGAGATGAGAGTGGATGAGTGTTATTAATGATTGGAAGGGTTCCATATGTTTGATTGGATGGATTTAGAGTACATACGTGCAGCATGTAGTTGATATTTTAGTTGGACGTCATTGGCAATGGCATTGAAGAAGTATATGATGACGATAAAGATCATTGATACGATGAATAGACGGACAAAGAAGTGTAGGTATCTGTCGAGCACTTCGGGCAGATAGCTGAACATTGGTTCTTTGTCCACCAGTGGTGGCACTACAACTGATGAGTTGTTGTTTGATTCCTTGAATATACCATGTTGTGTAATATTACGATGATGAAGGTGATGATGATGATGATATATATTGTTCAACAACAGTTCTTTGTTGTTTTGTTTCAGTAACCTGATATGTTTGGACTTGATAACTTTGATTGATTGATTGATTGATTGAATGGACTTTGAAGTTAGACCATACGCCAATTGATTGTATCCCAACTTAGTTGACTTACTCTTGTTGTTGTTGTTGTTGTTGTTGGAGTAGTTTGATCGGTGCAGATGTGTCTTTATCGTGTGATTGTCAATCAGCTGACCTCCAGATATCTCATCAGTGTCAGAGTCTTCATCATCAATCGAATGAGTCATTGTATGTACATTGTTATTGTTGTTGTCACCAGTATTGATATTTTCATTATGATTGCCATTGCCATTGACATTGATTTTCTCGTTGACCATGTTGTTGTCCATCATTGTGTTACTTGATGTTGTTGGTAAGCATTGTTCATATTCGAATGGGATTGGCTCATGCATTGTCTCATCCCTTTGTTGTTGTTGTTGCTGTTGTTGTAGTTGTAATGGAGAGTACTTGAATGATGTAGGAGACATGCTTATTTGATGTTTGAGTGCATGCGATGATGATGATGAAGGAGATGATTGAGTGTCTCCTCGACACAACTCCATCTTGTTTGTTTGATTGAGCATTGATCTTTGATTCAACCAACTCTGTCTAAACAGACTGCTGTTTAGCATTGTATTGTGAAGTTGAGATTCATCCTCGTCATTCATTATCTGTATCTATATCTCTATCAAATTTTCGAAGTTCTAAGACAAAATATAAAGTTCATCGGCAAGTTTTCCAGATTAGGTCACCAATAATCAAAGAGAATCCAGTTTCAATACAAGTCTAGTTCTCCTTTATTATTAGACTAGTCTGGTATTTTATAGTATTATGTTATGTTCCACTTTTGAAGAAATGACAGACTTAAACCACCCATTCAAAGACTCAAAGAACTCTACTGTAGAGTAAAATGAGTAAGTTGGAAAAATGAAGAGTAGAGAAAGATCATAAATAACTAATGTACTTCAGTGATCAAGACAACCAAACCTATTATCGAGGCCAAATTGGAATAAACAACAACCTTGACAATCTAATTAAAACCATCAATATTCTCAACACAAACCTCAAAATACTAAACACCAACATCGCCATTATGAGCTATAATATCAACAATTGAATTATGGCCCTCAGTCACAATATTAATGTTCTCAACAACAACATCGACAAACTCGATTCCCATCTCAATATTGTGAACAATAACATTATCTTATCAAACCAAAACCTCAAGACAAAGATAATAAACGGCACCAATGTACCTCCACTTCAAGAAATCCCTCTCCAGCCTTTTCCAGTTGAGCCACTCCGTCCTAGCCAGGAACTCCAAATTATTAATCCTCCTCCATTTCTTCAAACTCTCCCGTTTATTCAGCCAATTCCTCTCCAAGCCCCTGAGAAGGGGAAATTGAGCCCAATTATAATTATTCTAGATCCCTGAATACCCATAGTTCTATTGTTTGGTTAACCTTTTGACAACTAGTACATTTACCTCGAATCTCTCTTACAGTAATATAGTATAAATAAATCATTTAACAACTCTGAAGGCTAATAGAATTGTGAATCAACTAATGATCAAGTACCAAAATTGTCAAAGTGTGCAGAGTGTGTTCAAAGAATGAATCGTTTCCCACTTTTCATTTCATTTGTCATTCGCCTCAACTCTGCATTCTTATTCAAATATATAACAGATACAGATACAGATACAGATACAGATACGATACGATACGATATACATTAAACTACAATCAACTACGACATTAAAC